GGGGGCCCCCGGGGAGGCTTGCCCGTGCGAAGAAACGCCCCGTGCGCACCACCGTTGGGCGGTTGGAAGCCGCACACGGTCGCGGGGGTGGAGAGCGGAAACGGGCAGCCGGGGGAGGGTGGGGGCGGTTGGATGGGACTGGGGTGTACGGGGGGCAGGGGAGTTGAGGGGGCAAGGGGAGGGGCAGCAACGGGCAGGGGCTGGGCCAGCTGAGGGCACGGAAAAGGGGCGGGCAGAGGGTGAGCAGAGGGGCGAGCGATGCAAGGGAGGCACCATAGGGGGGGGAAACCAGTTGCACGGAGGTGGGAGGTGAGGGGCGTGCGAGGGGGTGGGAAAGGGGCAGGGAGGGGCAGAATGGGAGGATGTGGGTGGGGGGGTGGGGGAGGGGAGTGTGCGTGTGTGTGTGTGAGAAAGAGAGAGAGGGAAAGGGAGGGGGGGAGAGAAGGGTGGGAGGGGGGCTGGTGGTGGGGATGGGCTGATGGTGGTAAGAGGGCAGCAGGGATGGGGAGAAGGGAGCGTAACGAGGGGAGAGCAAAGGGCAGGGGGGGAGGAAGGGAGGGGCAGGGAGGGAAGAGGCTGAACGTACAAAGGGGGGGAAACGAGGGGCATGGATGATAGGAAACAAGGGCAGGGGTGCGGGAAATCAAGGGCAGGGAGGGGAGAAGCAATGGGTGAGGGGAAAACAAGGGAGGGGCAGACGGGGTGGGCAGGGAGGGAAGAAACGTGGGGCAGGGAGGGGAGAAGCCAAGAGACAGGGGCATGGGCAGGCGGGGGCAGGGAGGGAGCAGAGGAGAGGCACGGAGAAAGAAAGGGAGGCGCGGGGAGGGGAGAAACCGGGCGTGGGGGGGGGGGCGGAAAACGAGGGGCAGGGCGGGGAGGAGGGAGGGGCAGGGAGGGGAGAAGCTGAGCACACAGAGGGGGGAAAGGTGGGGCAGGGAGGTAGGAAGCCAAGGGCAAGGGTGGGAGAGTGGGGGGGGCAGGGAGAGGGGGGAGGTGGGGGGCGGAGAAAGGCGGCGAGGGGCAGGGAGGGGAGAAACCAAGCATAGGGGGGCGAGATACGAGGGGCAGGGTGCGGATTGAGGAGGGGCAGGGAGTGGAGTGGGTCGGCGAGGGGAAGGAAGAGGCGTGCAGCAGAGGAGGGGAGGGGGGAGGAGAAGGTAAACGAGGGGAGCGCACGGGCGGGGAGGAGCGAATGGCGGGCGGTGGGAAACGGCGAGGGGGGGCAGGGAGGGTCAAAAGAGGCGGCAAGGGAGCGGGCACGCGGAGGGTAGGGGCGGGGGGAGCGGATGGCATGAGGGGGCAGGGGGTGTGACTGTGAAGGGGGGACCCGGGCAAGGGGTGTGTACCGGTCGGGGCACGGGGTTGACGTGGTACGATCATACCTCGGCTACTACGCCGGATCCCATCAGAACTCCGAAGCTAAGCGCCGGTGGGCGAGAGCAGTTATTCATTAATAAGGGAAGAGCAAATACAAGCCGAATATAATGGTTTTTCCAAGACTAGGAAATTTCGACATAGCCTAAGCGCTATGAGGACGATTTATATATTTTGTAGGAAAAGGGGGAAAGAAAGGAAAGGAAGGAAAGATGAAGGAGTAAGAAGAAGTGGTAGGGAAAGGAAGAGGGTGGTAGGAAGAGAAGGGAAGGATAGAAGAAGGGAACAGAAAGAGGGAGGTGGGAAGAGAAGAGGAGAGAGAGAGAGAGACTAAGGAGAAGGAAGCACCAAAGGACCAAACACGGCAGCAACCCGCACGACCGCACGGGCACAGCGTTTCAAGCACAGCCACTATTGTTTTTTACACATATGCATCATATATATACTGCATATCAGCCACACTCTCGAAGCACCCTGTGACGTGGTGCCAAGTTCCCTGCCCCGCACCCAGTGGGACTGGTGCGGGCATCCACCCGTCGTCGGACCTCCCTAACTGCCGCACCGCATGCTGGATCATGCATTGAGCCTGCGCGCGCTGCAGTGCAACGGAGAGGCGTGTAGTGAGTCCTGCCTCAAATATCCGTGCCGATCCGTCATCCCCCCCACCTCTATCCCTCCTCCGCTGTGCTATCCTCTTTGCGCAGAGCCCCAGAAACTGACGCAGCGGCTCACTCAGAAGGCCAAAGGTCTCCGCCACGCACGCGTAAAAGTGTGGTGCCGGCTGCAGCCCCTCTAAGTGCGGCCCCCAGTGACGCAGCTTCTCCTGCACCCGCCTAGCTGCTGCCACTCCAATCTGTGTGGGGGTCGCCCGTCTCAGCTGCACGTTCCCCTCCCGCTGTGGATCCGCTATGGAGACATCCACAAGAACCATCAGACCCTGGCCAACGTCGCGGCAGGTGAGGTCTGGAATGCGGGAGGCGGTGCCTACACGGCCTGTGCGTCCGACTGGTCCCTGCTGTTGCGCTGGCTGCTGCCCTGTCTGGTCCCTTGGTGCCCCCTCTCCGATCGTCTCTCTCCCCCTCTCCTCTCCTCCATCCACCTGTCCTCTCCCCTCCCCCTCCCTACCCTCCCCCAAACCTCCCGACCCCCCTGCTCCATCCCCTGCTGCCTCTCTCACTCCCTGGCCCTCCCCTCCCAATCCCGCTGCCCCTCCTGTACCTCCGTCCGCTCTCTGCTGCTCCCGCCCCTGCCCCGCCCCCGAGGCCGAACCTGGAGGCGCGGCGCCCTGGGCCCGCGGCCTCCACTGGCTCTCCTGCTGCTGCCTGTGCCGTCCCCCCTCCCCGTCCTGGCCCGTCTGCTCCCCCTGCCGTCCCCTCTGCCCACCTGTCCCTCGCTCCACCTGACCCCGCAGCTGGTGCCGTCCCCACTGTCCCCCGCCACCCGGCTGTCCCGCCTCGCCTCTCCGCTCCCCCGGTCCCTCAGCCCGTGTCCCCTCTCCCACCACTGGCTGTCCCAGTAGTCTCGCTCGAGCCGCCTCCAACTGTGTGAACAGCGTAGAGTCCTCCACCTTTACCGCGAAGCCCGCCTCGACCGCAAAGTCTCGAAGCATGTACTTCACCGTGTCGTGGATGGTAGTGGCGACCCCGTAACGCGGGCACCGAACCGCGTGATGAGGCACCGTCATGTCGTCAATCGCCTGTCCGCAGGAGCACTGACCTGCAAGGGCTAACTGGGGGATAGGGAGACCAAGACGAGAAGATGAAGCCGCCTGCCACAGCGCCTCCGGGATGCGCAGTGGGTCGGCGTACGGCACCGACGTCAACCACGCTCCTGCACCTCCGCCCTGAAGGGAAGTCAAACGGGCAAGGTGCAAGGGAGAGGTGTGACGGGCACGCACGGCCTCCAAGGCATGCGCCTCCAGAAGACGGCTCGCTCCTGCAAAAAGGGAATCGGGGGAGGCAGAAGCGCAAGAGGGCCAGGGGGGAAGGAGAGAGAGAACGTCAGGAGGGAGACCCTCTAGCGCCGTCTGCAGAGCCCGGTCGATCTGCTCTGGCTCACCTGAAGCGAAGCTCTGCCGAAACACCTCGCCACACGCAGGGAGAGAACAGAGAATGGGTGCACACTGCACCCAGGAGCACACGAAACTCACCGGGGCCATGCGCGCCATGCGACGAATGCCGAAACCCCCGAGACGGATGGGGAGGAAGATCTGGTCTAGGGCGGCCTCTCGGACGTCCTCGCGACAAGCCCAGGTCCCTGAAGCTAAAAGCTGCTGAAAAGTCTCTCCCAGGCGTGCGTCCCACCGTGTAAAACTGGAGATCACTGCGGGCGAAGGAGGGACGGTCCTCGACAGGTACTGCGGACGAGTGCTGACACACGCCGAAAGAAGGCGGGCAGCTGTCTGGGGCTGGCGCAACCTCGGAAGCCAAGGTAGCACCCGCCCCATCCTCTCGAGACGATCCGGGAGACTCTGCTCCACGAACGAAACGGTGCCTACCGGTACGCCTGTCACGGTGAGCCCTCGGCGTGCGACCTCGATCCCTAGGCCCGTGAAAGCCTCCAGATCCCTGGACAGAAAGGACTCTGTCTGGTAGACGAGGCACTTGTGCGGCTGGGCTGCAAGGCCCATCTCGCCCAAGCGCCTCACGATCTCGGCAAAATGGTGCAGCACCCTGTCTGGGGGACCTAGCACGTACGTGTCATCGGCGTACGACCAGAGCTGGACATCCCCCTCCGCCAGAACCGGCTCCAAAGCAAGACGCTGTGTCAGAGCGTACAAGAAGGGGCTGAGAGGGTCTCCCTGGCGAGTGCCCCGCTCCGAGTGCATCGTGACCACTCCCGTGCCTGACCTGTAGTGGAGATCCGAGGGCGTCCCGTAGAAGAGGCCGATGAAGGGGATCAGACACTGAAACTCCGGACTGGCCTGCAGCGCCTGAAACATCCTGTCTCGGTGGAAAGAGTTAAAGGCATTCGCCACGTCTAGCTGCAGGACCACCCAGTCTGGGTGGTCAGCCAGAGCGCGGCGGACGCCTCTAACTACGACCTCTGTCCCGCACGTAACCCCCACCCCAAACTGCTGTGATGCCAAGAAGACCCTCGCCATCTGGTCACGTAGCTGGAGACAAACTGCCCGAGAAAGAATGCGGACCAAAACCTCGCCGATGGCAATCGGCCGAACATCCATGTTCGACTTCGCCAGAGCCACGAGGGTGGAGGACGCTAGCAAGGAGCGCGCAGCTGGAGCGCAACGGCCTCGGAGCCACTGCTGGTACACGGCCAGGAGGAAATGGAGACTCTGAGGGAAAGCTAGGAAAGTGTCTCGCAGGTGCTCAGCGACCCAACCGGACGGTCCTCCCGAAGAGCCCCGCGGAGCTGTGAAAATCGCGCGGCGTAAGTGATCCACCGAGAGCACGAGAGGGGACCCCTGGAAGCCAGACAGCCAAGCTGGGGTCGGCCTCTCCGCGTTGGGGTGCTTCGACTGCAGGCGCTGTATCGTCCCCTGTGTATCTGGGGCTGCCTCCGCGGACTCGAGAGCCGCGCACGCCCGTGAGGTCTCATTGCACGCTGCCAGACGAAGGCAACGTGCAATGCGGCGCTCATCTGCTGCAGAGGGATCGGTGGCGGTGCGTGACCGGTGACCTGTGCGGCGAGGAAGGGGTGTGCGACGGCCTAGTGCATCTGAGACTAGCTCAGCCCACTCACCTCGACCAAAGCGAGAGATGCGCGTTGCAATGGCAGCCGTGTGCGAGCGGTCGGGTGGCGTCGCTGGAACAAGGAAAAGAGTCGGCGCTGCAGCGAGGAGGAAGGTAGGGCCAGCAGCCTCCGGGTCCTGGGCAATGCGGACTAGGATCGCACTGAGGACGTCAAGATATCCTCCGCGGACCCTCTCCGGGACACGTCGGAGAGGGCGTGTATGGATACGCTCGGGCGAGAAGTACTCTGTCCAGTCCACCGAGTCGAGCGTCTGCCACTGTGCGTCGGTGAACTGCATCCCGGTCGCACGGGGCTGTGAGAGGGAAGGGATGATCGAGGCGGTATCATGGGCAGCCTGCGCCCTGCGAGCCGCGTCCGCAGGATGGCAGAAGGGAATGTGGTGCTGGAGCGCGCGTCGGTTCGCGAGAGAGCTCCTGCAGGTGGGGCAACTCACGACCTGGTCGGGTGATGTCGCCGTGTCGGCGGGGTCAATCGGGGCCGTGGCGTCGGAACTGGCTGTAGAGGGGACCCCGTGGGCGGCCTGAGCTCCGACAGGATCGCCTGGGATGAGGGGAGGAGACGACTCACCAGCCCCGCGCGGGGGGGGTGTCAGCGAAGATAGAGGTGGTGTCGCACAGGATAGGGCCGGGCCTCGTGCCGGCACCGGTGTTGAAGCTGGGGAGGGGGGACGTGGAGGTGAGCCTGAAGTGTGTGCCGTGGTGTGCTCCTGCCCCTCGGCGGGGTGCGGTTCAAGTGACGGCTCTGCTACCCCAGGCGGAGGGGTCTCGGTAGGGGCGGATGCCTCATCCCTACTGCTGGTGACCTCCTGCGCCACGGGCTGAACGGGGGGAGGCGCCACCCCGTCTAGGTGCGAGTGACACGGCCTCAGACCCCGGTCCGTCTCCATTGGGGTCGGGAGTGACGCGCCTGGCTGAGTGGCGGGGGGGATAAAAGAAGGGACAGACCGGGTGACCTCCGCATACGTCCGGGTCCGGTCCTGTGGGACTGGAAGGGTGGGGGCAGCCGGAGAGCTGCTCAGGCGGTGTATCGCCAGCAAATCTGAAATGCCAGCCCTCACCTCCTCTGGGGTCTCGAAGACCTGCCTGCCTGTAGGTGAGAGTAGGAGGGCTGGCAGGGTAGAGGGTGGAGTGGGGCGTGCTGGCTGAGCGGAGCTCGGGTGTGGACCCTGCCCTAGAAGGCCCCCTTGGCCCTCCCCAATCACCATGGGTTGCGGTAGGGGGTCGTCGACATGGAAGGGGTGGGAGGGATGGGAGGGGGAGTCGGTGGCGTCTGCCATGGGCGCATCCCTCAACCCGACGGCCCCCCTCCCAGTAGCGATCGCGGCCGCCGCCACCTGGGAGGGGGACACAGCACGGGAGGGGCAGAATGGGGGTGAGTGGGCTGGTCCGCTCCCATGGCCCTGTGGAGGTGCAGGAGCGGGGCGGGAGTGTAGGTTTGGTGGACGGGCTGTAGAGGTAGGGCCTGGTAATTGTTCAACGGGATGTGAGGTGGGGAGGGGCTCTTGGTGGGGGAGGGAGGGAGGGGGGAGTACGTGGGCTGACCCTCTGCCTCCTCTGCCCCTGTTCTTCCGCCGGCGGCCAACCTGGTTGTCCGCGCCTGTTTGTGAAGGAAGGGGGGGCTGTGGGGCCAAAGGGGTGGGTGGAGGGAGGATGGGTGGTTCGCCAGGCAGGGGGTGCTCTGTGTGCATCCCCACTCTCCTCGAAACATCCCCCTCCGTGGGAACAGATCGGGCAAGCTGTGTGTGGGGGGTGATGGCTGCCCAACGGGGCCACTCGTGGGGAACCCGGCCGGGAGAGGGGGTTGGAGGTGGGGGTCGAGGGGCTGGGCCAGTGTGGAGGTTAGAGCGAGGTACAAACGGTGGGGGGAGAGAGATTTGTGTGGGCTCTGTGGTGGCCTCTCCTGTGGGCCCCTCTACCCGGGTGCCGCCGCTCCCATGAGCCTGGGGCGCAAGCCCTTGCGGGTGGGTCTCGGCTGCCTGGGGGGGGTGGTGTGGGGAGGGCAGCCTGTTGGGTGGGCGTGTTGGGGCTGTGCGGCGACTCGGGTGGTTTGGGTGCCTGTAGCGTGTGGGAGAGGGATTTGGCCGCAGAGATGCTTCAACCTCCGAGATGTGTGTACTACCGGGTGGGGGGGGGCCTGGTGGAGGAGGGGGTAGTGGGCCGGTAAGGGGTGGCTGGGTGTTGGTAGGAGTCGGGGAGCATGGCTCCTCTAGGAAGACCAGAGCCCTGGCTGCTCCACGTGGTGCTCTAAGGAGCCCCTGAGGGTGGGGGCAGAGGTGTGCTGCCCTTGGGGGTGAAGGAAGGAGTGAGGGAAGGGGCGGGGAGGGGTGAGAGGTGAGAGAAGGGGTGCCCTCGGGTGACTCTGCTCTTGTCGCACCCGCGTGCTCTCCCGGTGGACCGCCTGCAACCGTGGGGTCAGGCGTTGGGGACGGAGAGGGGGGCTGGCCATGGAGCAGCGTGGGGGTCGGGGAGCACGGCTCCGCCAAGAAGGCCAGGGCCTTGGCTGCCCCCCTGGACACTACCGGGACCTGAGGGTGGGGGTGGGGAAGTGGTGCTCCTGGGGGCTGGTGGGCTGGAGGACGGGAGGTGAGGATGGGGGCTCCCTCGCGCGGCTCTGTCCTCAAGGTCTCCCCCAGCCCCTCCATCGGTCCTTCTGCTAGCATGGGGACGGGCATGGGGGGTAGAGGGGGAACCTCGACGTGAGGCTGCAGGGGGGCCGGGTCGGCCTCACCGTCAAGCGTGAGGTATTGGGCCAGTGGCCCGTCAATGTGCATCACATCCTCTCCCTCATCCTCCTCTATCGCTATCACATCCCCCTCTTCAGTGCCCACCCCGGTCGGGACCACCCTCCCCTCTCCTTCCCCTGTTGCCCCTATGTCCCCCAAGCCCACCCCGCCTGCTGCCGCTTTACTGCTAGCCCCTTTTGCAGTCTCTGCCGGCCCTGCCGGCCCTGCTGTGTGTTTCCCCGAGTTTGCTGCGGCCCCTGCCGCCCCTACTGGCCGTGCTATGGCCCTCCCTGCTGCTTCAGCTGCAGCCTCACCTTCTGCCTTTGAGGCCCCTGCCGTACCCTCTCTTGCTACAGCCGGGGCGGCACTCTCCCTCGCACCAGTCCCCGTTACCCCCTTCCCCGCTGCACCCGTAGCACCTCCCCCTATACCAGCCCCCGCTGTGGCCTCTGTCGCTCCTGCTGCAGTCCTTGCAGCCTCGACTGCTGCAGTCTGTAAAACCTCGCCTACCGTAATCTGCTCAGCCTCACCAGCCGCGATCCCTGTAGCCTCACGTGCTGCAGTCCCTGCAGCCTCACGTGCTGCAGTCCCTGCAGCCTCACCCGCTGCAGTCCCTGCGGCCTCACCTGCTGCAGTCTGTGCAGCCTCACCTGCTAGAATCTGCTCAACCTCACATGCTGCGGCCTCTGCAGCCTCACCTGCTGCGGCTATTTCAGCCTCACCTGCTGCGCTCCCTGCGGCCTCACCTGCCATGGTCCCGCCTGCAGCCTCATCCGCTGTGGTCCCTGCCGCCTCACCTGCTGCAGTCCCTGCGGCCTCACCTGTTGCAGTCCATGCGACCTCACCAGCTGTAGACTGTGCAGCCTCACCTGCTAGAGTCTGCCCAACCTTACATGATGCAGCCCTCGCAGCCTCACCTGCTGCGTCCGCCGCAGCCTCACCTGCTGTGGCCCCTGCAGTCCCGCCTGCTGCGCTCCCTGCAGCCTCGCCTGCTGCGCTCCCTGCAGCCTCGCTTGCTGCGCTCCCTGCGGCCTCACCTGCTGCGCTCTCTGCAGCCTCACCTGCTGCGCCCCCTACAGCCTCACCTGCTGCGCTCCCCGCAGCCTCACCTACTGCGCTCCCTGCGGCCTCACCTGCCATGGTCCCTCCTGCAGCCTCACCCGTTGTGATCCCTGCAGCCACACCTGCTGTGGTCTGTGCGGCCTCACCTGGTGCGGTCCCTATAGCCTCCTCTGCTGCGGTTCCCCCAGCCGACACAGCAGCAGGTTCCGTGGCCCCTACTCCTGCAAAACCTGTCTCCATGGCCTCTGCCCTTTGCCTGGCCAGAGTCACGGTCCCTGCCGCCCCTTCCCGTGCAGCCCCTGCCGCCCTTTCCCGTGCAGCCGCTGCTGCCCCTTCCCTTGCAGCCTCTGCTGCCCTTTCCTCTGCAGCCTCTGCTGCCCCTTCCCCCACAACCCCCATTGCCCCTTCCCGTGCAGCCTTTGCTGCCCCATCCTCTGTAGCCTCTGCTGCTCCTTCACACACAAACTCACTTACCCCTTCCCGTGCAGTGTCAGCTGCAAGTTCCCCCCTGGCTCTGCCCTCTCCCGCTTCTATGTGCTTGGGGGTGCGGGTAGGATTAAGTGTTTTCACAAGTAATCTGGTTTGCGAATGGGAGGTAGCGAGTGAGTTGGAGGATCTCTCTACTGAGCATGCATGGGTGCCGCCCCCGCTGTCACCTGAAGGGGGGGTAGACTGGGATGGGGCAGCGGGGGTAGGGCGCGGTTTTGAGCGTGCTGGCTCCTCCTCGTGTATTTCCTCCAGTGGGGCTTGGCGTTCCTCTGTTCCATCCTCTTCAAAGGTACGCTTCTGGCCCCTAGGGTCAGATTGTGTGAGTGTTTTCGCTTGGTCAGGTGTGTGTTGTTTCTTCCTGACTGTTGAAGTGGGGGGAGTGGGAGAGTAGGGGGTGGCTCGGCTGCGGGACCTCCCAGATCGCCGAGGGGCTCCCGGGCCTGCCTTTCCCCCACTCGCGGGGTGCTGGGGCATTGTTACAGAGGCAGCATGCCTGGCGGTGGCGGTGTGAGTTGCTGGGGTTGGCTCAAGAGGGCGTCAAAGGGGGAAGGAACTCCCTGGCAGAGGCCGGGGTGCGGGGGGTTAGCTTGGGGAAAGGGGAAAAGGGTGGGGAAAGCGGTGCGCAGTGGGTGGAAGAGAGGGTAGAGGGGGCCTGACAGTTGGAGGGGATTGGGGCCCAAGGGGGGGGCGGGCTGGGGGCCGATTGAGAGGGGAAGTGTTGGCGGGCTGTAGTGGAGGTGGGGGGGCGGGGGTGGTGTAGCGGTGGGTGAGCAGGGTGTGGGGACAGGTGGTGGGCCAGAGGTGGGGAGGGCAGGGCAGAATTCCACGGGAGGTGGGGGTGGGCAGGTGGAGCCAGGTGGGAAAGGAAGGGTGGGGAACAGAGAGGAAGGGGCAAAGGGTAGTGGGTAGTCGAGTTGGCGTGAGCCTGGTAGCGGGTAATGAGAAGGTTGGGAGGCGGGGGGTGAGAACGTGGGAGGGCAGAGAGGGCACCGAAAGGAGGTGCTGTGGTAAATGCAGGATAGGATGCGGGGCCGGGAAACAGGGGACAGAGGGAATTGGGGAATCGATGAAGGGTGATAGCTGCGGATGGGCGAGCCCCAGGGGGGAGGAAATATGGAGGGTGTTGGAGAAGGGGGAGACTGGGGGGGGTTGAGGTAGGGTGTTGGAGGGCACAAGGGGCAGGAACAGGGGGTGCAAAAGTTGGCTGGGGGAGGGAGAGGCGGTCTGGTGCCGCGGAAAGGCGGAGGGAGGTTGGGGACGGCACAGCCCAGGGAGCAAAAGCAAGGGGTGTAGACCTTGGCTGGGGGTAGGAACGGCGGTGTGGAGTTAGGGAGAGGTAGAGGGAGGCTGGGGTAGGTGGCTGGATTGCGCAGGGAGCAGGGGCAGGGGGTGTAGAGATTGGATGGGGGTGGGAAAGGCGGCGTGGTGCCAGGTGGCGGCAGTTGGGTCACCGAAGGGCCTGGCAGGGCGGGATGCAGAGGTGCAGCCCACGCTGGATGCGGAAGTAGCTGGGGGGGAAAGGGAGGCTGGAGGGGGAAGTACGGCTCGTAGAGGTGTGGGGGGCAGAGTGGGAGTGGGGAAAGCAGGAAGGGGGGTGGAGGGACGTTGTGGACAGGGGAGTGGGGGAACATGCGGGTGATGATAGGGAGAAGCCGGGGGGGGGGGAGAAGGGGGAGGTGGTATGAAGTGGGCAAGGGTGACGCACGGGCAGAGCGCGGCGGTACTAAGGGCAGGGAGACGGGAGGCTGGGGGGAGAAAGGCCTGCTTGGGGGCGTGGTGGGGGATAAGGGGAGAGGGGCGGTAATGCTGGTGGGCAAAAGGGGAGGGTGTGGTGTAGTATGATGAAACAGAATGGGGGGGTGGCGGACTGGGTGGGGCCCTGGAGGGTTGGGAGAACAAGGTGTAAGCTGCCTTTCTGATTTTTCCTGGTTTTTTCGGATTTATATGAATTTCTTTTTCTTTTCTTTTTTCCTTGAAGTTGTTTCCTCTTATTTCCTACGGTTTCCAGAAACAGGGCGGCCTCTGCTAGCTAAGCGCCGTTAGGGAAAGAGGTTAGGTGGCGGGGTGGCTAAAGCGCGCGTGTGAGGGGGAAAGGGGCGGTGTGAGCAGGGAGGTGACTATGTGGGTGGCGACGGGGTAAAATTACGACGTGTGGGTGGCATGCACGAGTGCGCGACGAGGCACGGCAGGGTGGGAGTGAGCAAAAGGGGAGTGGGGCGGCTTGTGTGCCAAACGTGGGCGGCTAAAACGCTCTAGGCAGAAAACGCGCTTCGGGAGGCGCGCAAGGGGAGGGCTGCTTAATCGCTACGAACGTAGCAATTTCGCCTCCCTCCGCGCTGCCTTTCCCTGGCGGTAAGCGCCCCGTGCGCGGTTCCGTCTACGTCGCGGCTAGATTGAACAGGCGGGGAAAACGAGTGCATGACTAAACATGATAGGCGACGAGAAAGCGTGCTTGGAAACGCGCGGCTCTTCGAATTAGGGTTACGATAAAGAAGGGCGCACCGAAAGGGAAGGAAGAGTGCTAACTACGGGCGGAAGCTAAGCTCAGTGACTTCGAGAGAGGGAAACCGCGGGAAAAAACTCGGTAGCAGCTAATCGCTTCGAATAGAAAAGCCGTGAGCAGAAAAGAGCGGGGGGATAAGGGAGAGTGTCGAGAGAGGGGATGGGCGGGAACACCGTGTCTGGCGGAGTTGTGGTTGTGAGTCGCGCGCGCTGTTACACTCCGCGGGCGAACTTCGCGTCAGCGCCCCACCTCCCGTTACACCGGCTGCAGCGCGTCCGCAGCGATCCCGCGATGGCGGGGTCGAACAAACGGTTCCGTAACACCCCGCGAGTTCCGTTTCCGAGACTCCTGAGGGTCGCGCGCGAAACTCGCGACCCCCGTCCCGTCGAACTCGACAGTCGAAACTAAAAAACTAACCGTTGGAAACGCTTATAACTATAACATAAACAACTATCACAATCACTTTGTCCTTAAGCAACTCGAAATAGTAGGTTTAGGAGGCTCCTTAGTAGGCAGCCATGGCTAGGTAAGCTAGGTCAAGGTAAGAGCGCCGGTGGGCGAGAGCAGTACTGGGCTGGGTGACCTCCCGGGAAGTCCTCGTGTTGTACCCATTTATGCCCCTTGCTCGGCACGTGCCGGGGGAGGGGCAAGCGGGAAAAAGAAAGGACGATTTCAGCGCGTCCGATTTTTTCATTTTCGTTTTTTTGCCCGAACAACGACCCAGCGGGGTGGGGGGCCCCCGGGGAGGCTTGCCCGTGCGAAGAAACGCCCCGTGCGCACCACCGTTGGGCGGTTGGAAGCCGCACACGGTCGCGGGGGTGGAGAGCGGAAACGGGCAGCCGGGGGAGGGTGGGGGCGGTTGGATGGGACTGGGGTGTACGGGGGGCAGGGGAGTTGAGGGGGCAAGGGGAGGGGCAGCAACGGGCAGGGGCTGGGCCAGCTGAGGGCACGGAAAAGGGGCGGGCAGAGGGTGAGCAGAGGGGCGAGCGATGCAAGGGAGGCACCATAGGGGGGGGAAACCAGTTGCACGGAGGTGGGAGGTGAGGGGCGTGCGAGGGGGTGGGAAAGGGGCAGGGAGGGGCAGAATGGGAGGATGTGGGTGGGGGGGTGGGGGAGGGGAGTGTGCGTGTGTGTGTGTGAGAAAGAGAGAGAGGGAAAGGGAGGGGGGGAGAGAAGGGTGGGAGGGGGGCTGGTGGTGGGGATGGGCTGATGGTGGTAAGAGGGCAGCAGGGATGGGGAGAAGGGAGCGTAACGAGGGGAGAGCAAAGGGCAGGGGGGGAGGAAGGGAGGGGCAGGGAGGGAAGAGGCTGAACGTACAAAGGGGGGGAAACGAGGGGCATGGATGGTAGGAAACAAGGGCAGGGGTGCGGGAAATCAAGGGCAGGGAGGGGAGAAGCAATGGGTGAGGGGAAAACAAGGGAGGGGCAGAGGGGGTGGGCAGGGAGGGAAGAAACGTGGGGCAGGGAGGGGAGAAGCCAAAGACAGGGGCATGGGCAGGCGGGGGCAGGGAGGGAGCAGAGGAGAGGCACGGAGAAAGAAAGGGAGGCGCGGGGAGGGGAGAAACCGGGCGTGGGGGGGCGGAAAACGAGGGGCAGGGCGGGGAGGAGGGAGGGGCAGGGAGGGGAGAAGCTGAGCACACAGAGGGGGGAAAGGTGGGGCAGGGAGGTAGGAAGCCAAGGGCAAGGGTGGGAGAGTGGGGGGGGCAGGGAGAGGGGGGAGGTGGGGGGCGGAGAAAGGCGGCGAGGGGCAGGGAGGGGAGAAACCAAGCATAGGGGGGCGAGATACGAGGGGCAGGGTGCGGATTGAGGAGGGGCAGGGAGTGGAGTGGGTCGGCGAGGGGAAGGAAGAGGCGTGCAGCAGAGGAGGGGAGGGGGGAGGAGAAGGTAAACGAGGGGAGCGCACGGGCGGGGAGGAGCGAATGGCGGGCGGTGGGAAACGGCGAGGGGGGCAGGGAGGGTCAAAAGAGGCGGCAAGGGAGCGGGCACGCGGAGGGTAGGGGCGGGGGGAGCGGATGGCATGAGGGGGCAGGGGGTGTGACTGTGAAGGGGGGACCCGGGCAAGGGGTGTGTACCGGTCGGGGCACGGGGTTGACGTGGTACGATCATACCTCGGCTACTACGCCGGATCCCATCAGAACTCCGAAGCTAAGCGCCGGTGGGCGAGAGCAGTTATTCATTAATAAGGGAAGAGCAAATACAAGCCGAATATAATGGTTTTTCCAAGACTAGGAAATTTCGACATAGCCTAAGCGCTATGAGGACGATTTATATATTTTGTAGGAAAAGGGGGAAAGAAAGGAAAGGAAGGAAAGATGAAGGAGTAAGAAGAAGTGGTAGGGAAAGGAAGAGGGTGGTAGGAAGAGAAGGGAAGGATAGAAGAAGGGAACAGAAAGAGGGAGGTGGGAAGAGAAGAGGAGAGAGAGAGAGAGACTAAGGAGAAGGAAGCACCAAAGGACCAAACACGGCAGCAACCCGCACGACCGCACGGGCACAGCGTTTCAAGCACAGCCACTATTGTTTTTTACACATATGCATCATATATATACTGCATATCAGCCACACTCTCGAAGCACCCTGTGACGTGGTGCCAAGTTCCCTGCCCCGCACCCAGTGGGACTGGTGCGGGCATCCACCCGTCGTCGGACCTCCCTAACTGCCGCACCGCATGCTGGATCATGCATTGAGCCTGCGCGCGCTGCAGTGCAACGGAGAGGCGTGTAGTGAGTCCTGCCTCAAATATCCGTGCCGATCCGTCATCCCCCCCACCTCTATCCCTCCTCCGCTGTGCTATCCTCTTTGCGCAGAGCCCCAGAAACTGACGCAGCGGCTCACTCAGAAGGCCAAAGGTCTCCGCCACGCACGCGTAAAAGTGTGGTGCCGGCTGCAGCCCCTCTAAGTGCGGCCCCCAGTGACGCAGCTTCTCCTGCACCCGCCTAGCTGCTGCCACTCCAATCTGTGTGGGGGTCGCCCGTCTCAGCTGCACGTTCCCCTCCCGCTGTGGATCCGCTATGGAGACATCCACAAGAACCATCAGACCCTGGCCAACGTCGCGGCAGGTGAGGTCTGGAATGCGGGAGGCGGTGCCTACACGGCCTGTGCGTCCGACTGGTCCCTGCTGTTGCGCTGGCTGCTGCCCTGTCTGGTCCCTTGGTGCCCCCTCTCCGATCGTCTCTCTCCCCCTCTCCTCTCCTCCATCCACCTGTCCTCTCCCCTCCCCCTCCCTACCCTCCCCCAAACCTCCCGACCCCCCTGCTCCATCCCCTGCTGCCTCTCTCACTCCCTGGCCCTCCCCTCCCAATCCCGCTGCCCCTCCTGTACCTCCGTCCGCTCTCTGCTGCTCCCGCCCCTGCCCCGCCCCCGAGGCCGAACCTGGAGGCGCGGCGCCCTGGGCCCGCGGCCTCCACTGGCTCTCCTGCTGCTGCCTGTGCCGTCCCCCCTCCCCGTCCTGGCCCGTCTGCTCCCCCTGCCGTCCCCTCTGCCCACCTGTCCCTCGCTCCACCTGACCCCGCAGCTGGTGCCGTCCCCACTGTCCCCCGCCACCCGGCTGTCCCGCCTCGCCTCTCCGCTCCCCCGGTCCCTCAGCCCGTGTCCCCTCTCCCACCACTGGCTGTCCCAGTAGTCTCGCTCGAGCCGCCTCCAACTGTGTGAACAGCGTAGAGTCCTCCACCTTTACCGCGAAGCCCGCCTCGACCGCAAAGTCTCGAAGCATGTACTTCACCGTGTCGTGGATGGTAGTGGCGACCCCGTAACGCGGGCACCGAACCGCGTGATGAGGCACCGTCATGTCGTCAATCGCCTGTCCGCAGGAGCACTGACCTGCAAGGGCTAACTGGGGGATAGGGAGACCAAGACGAGAAGATGAAGCCGCCTGCCACAGCGCCTCCGGGATGCGCAGTGGGTCGGCGTACGGCACCGACGTCAACCACGCTCCTGCACCTCCGCCCTGAAGGGAAGTCAAACGGGCAAGGTGCAAGGGAGAGGTGTGACGGGCACGCACGGCCTCCAAGGCATGCGCCTCCAGAAGACGGCTCGCTCCTGCAAAAAGGGAATCGGGGGAGGCAGAAGCGCAAGAGGGCCAGGGGGGAAGGAGAGAGAGAACGTCAGGAGGGAGACCCTCTAGCGCCGTCTGCAGAGCCCGGTCGATCTGCTCTGGCTCACCTGAAGCGAAGCTCTGCCGAAACACCTCGCCACACGCAGGGAGAGAACAGAGAATGGGTGCACACTGCACCCAGGAGCACACGAAACTCACCGGGGCCATGCGCGCCATGCGACGAATGCCGAAACCCCCGAGACGGATGGGGAGGAAGATCTGGTCTAGGGCGGCCTCTCGGACGTCCTCGCGACAAGCCCAGGTCCCTGAAGCTAAAAGCTGCTGAAAAGTCTCTCCCAGGCGTGCGTCCCACCGTGTAAAACTGGAGATCACTGCGGGCGAAGGAGGGACGGTCCTCGACAGGTACTGCGGACGAGTGCTGACACACGCCGAAAGAAGGCGGGCAGCTGTCTGGGGCTGGCGCAACCTCGGAAGCCAAGGTAGCACCCGCCCCATCCTCTCGAGACGATCCGGGAGACTCTGCTCCACGAACGAAACGGTGCCTACCGGTACGCCTGTCACGGTGAGCCCTCGGCGTGCGACCTCGATCCCTAGGCCCGTGAAAGCCTCCAGATCCCTGGACAGAAAGGACTCTGTCTGGTAGACGAGGCACTTGTGCGGCTGGGCTGCAAGGCCCATCTCGCCCAAGCGCCTCACGATCTCGGCAAAATGGTGCAGCACCCTGTCTGGGGGACCTAGCACGTACGTGTCATCGGCGTACGACCAGAGCTGGACATCCCCCTCCGCCAGAACCGGCTCCAAAGCAAGACGCTGTGTCAGAGCGTACAAGAAGGGGCTGAGAGGGTCTCCCTGGCGAGTGCCCCGCTCCGAGTGCATCGTGACCACTCCCGTGCCTGACCTGTAGTGGAGATCCGAGGGCGTCCCGTAGAAGAGGCCGATGAAGGGGATCAGACACTGAAACTCCGGACTGGCCTGCAGCGCCTGAAACATCCTGTCTCGGTGGAAAGAGTTAAAGGCATTCGCCACGTCTAGCTGCAGGACCACCCAGTCTGGGTGGTCAGCCAGAGCGCGGCGGACGCCTCTAACTACGACCTCTGTCCCGCACGTAACCCCCACCCCAAACTGCTGTGATGCCAAGAAGACCCTCGCCATCTGGTCACGTAGCTGGAGACAAACTGCCCGAGAAAGAATGCGGACCAAAACCTCGCCGATGGCAATCGGCCGAACATCCATGTTCGACTTCGCCAGAGCCACGAGGGTGGAGGACGCTAGCAAGGAGCGCGCAGCTGGAGCGCAACGGCCTCGGAGCCACTGCTGGTACACGGCCAGGAGGAAATGGAGACTCTGAGGGAAAGCTAGGAAAGTGTCTCGCAGGTGCTCAGCGACCCAACCGGACGGTCCTCCCGAAGAGCCCCGCGGAGCTGTGAAAATCGCGCGGCGTAAGTGATCCACCGAGAGCACGAGAGGGGACCCCTGGAAGCCAGACAGCCAAGCTGGGGTCGGCCTCTCCGCGTTGGGGTGCTTCGACTGCAGGCGCTGTATCGTCCCCTGTGTATCTGGGGCTGCCTCCGCGGACTCGAGAGCCGCGCACGCCCGTGAGGTCTCATTGCACGCTGCCAGACGAAGGCAACGTGCAATGCGGCGCTCATCTGCTGCAGAGGGATCGGTGGCGGTGCGTGACCGGTGACCTGTGCGGCGAGGAAGGGGTGTGCGACGGCCTAGTGCATCTGAGACTAGCTCAGCCCACTCACCTCGACCAAAGCGAGAGATGCGCGTTGCAATGGCAGCCGTGTGCGAGCGGTCGGGTGGCGTCGCTGGAACAAGGAAAAGAGTCGGCGCTGCAGCGAGGAGGAAGGTAGGGCCAGCAGCCTCCGGGTCCTGGGCAATGCGGACTAGGATCGCACTGAGGACGTCAAGATATCCTCCGCGGACCCTCTCCGGGACACGTCGGAGAGGGCGTGTATGGATACGCTCGGGCGAGAAGTACTCTGTCCAGTCCACCGAGTCGAGCGTCTGCCACTGTGCGTCGGTGAACTGCATCCCGGTCGCACGGGGCTGTGAGAGGGAAGGGATGATCGAGGCGGTATCATGGGCAGCCTGCGCCCTGCGAGCCGCGTCCGCAGGATGGCAGAAGGGAATGTGGTGCTGGAGCGCGCGTCGGTTCGCGAGAGAGCTCCTGCAGGTGGGGCAACTCACGACCTGGTCGGGTGATGTCGCCGTGTCGGCGGGGTCAATCGGGGCCGTGGCGTCGGAACTGGCTGTAGAGGGGACCCCGTGGGCGGCCTGAGCTCCGACAGGATCGCCTGGGATGAGGGGAGGAGACGACTCACCAGCCCCGCGCGGGGGGGGTGTCAGCGAAGATAGAGGTGGTGTCGCACAGGATAGGGCCGGGCCTCGTGCCGGCACCGGTGTTGAAGCTGGGGAGGGGGGACGTGGAGGTGAGCCTGAAGTGTGTGCCGTGGTGTGCTCCTGCCCCTCGGCGGGGTGCGGTTCAAGTGACGGCTCTGCTACCCCAGGCGGAGGGGTCTCGGTAGGGGCGGATGCCTCATCCCTACTGCTGGTGACCTCCTGCGCCACGGGCTGAACGGGGGGAGGCGCCACCCCGTCTAGGTGCGAGTGACACGGCCTCAGACCCCGGTCCGTCTCCATTGGGGTCGGGAGTGACGCGCCTGGCTGAGTGGCGGGGGGGATAAAAGAAGGGACAGACCGGGTGACCTCCGCATACGTCCGGGTCCGGTCCTGTGGGACTGGAAGGGTGGGGGCAGCCGGAGAGCTGCTCAGGCGGTGTATCGCCAGCAAATCTGAAATGCCAGCCCTCACCTCCTCTGGGGTCTCGAAGACCTGCCTGCCTGTAGGTGAGAGTAGGAGGGCTGGCAGGGTAGAGGGTGGAGTGGGGCGTGCTGGCTGAGCGGAGCTCGGGTGTGGACCCTGCCCTAGAAGGCCCCCTTGGCCCTCCCCAATCACCATGGGTTGCGGTAGGGGGTCGTCGACATGGAAGGGGTGGGAGGGATGGGAGGGGGAGTCGGTGGCGTCTGCCATGGGCGCATCCCTCAACCCGACGGCCCCCCTCCCAGTAGCGATCGCGGCCGCCGCCACCTGGGAGGGGGACACAGCACGGGAGGGGCAGAATGGGGGTGAGTGGGCTGGTCCGCTCCCATGGCCCTGTGGAGGTGCAGGAGCGGGGCGGGAGTGTAGGTTTGGTGGACGGGCTGTAGAGGTAGGGCCTGGTAATTGTTCAACGGGATGTGAGGTGGGGAGGGGCTCTTGGTGGGGGAGGGAGGGAGGGGGGAGTACGTGGGCTGACCCTCTGCCTCCTCTGCCCCTGTTCTTCCGCCGGCGGCCAACCTGGTTGTCCGCGCCTGTTTGTGAAGGAAGGGGGGGCTGTGGGGCCAAAGGGGTGGGTGGAGGGAGGATGGGTGGTTCGCCAGGCAGGGGGTGCTCTGTGTGCATCCCCACTCTCCTCGAAACATCCCCCTCCGTGGGAACAGATCGGGCAAGCTGTGTGTGGGGGGTGATGGCTGCCCAACGGGGCCACTCGTGGGGAACCCGGCCGGGAGAGGGGGTTGGAGGTGGGGGTCGAGGGGCTGGGCCAGTGTGGAGGTTAGAGCGAGGTACAAACGGTGGGGGGAGAGAGATTTGTGTGGGCTCTGTGGTGGCCTCTCCTGTGGGCCCCTCTACCCGGGTGCCGCCGCTCCCATGAGCCTGGGGCGCAAGCCCTTGCGGGTGGGTCTCGGCTGCCTGGGGGGGGTGGTGTGGGGAGGGCAGCCTGTTGGGTGGGCGTGTTGGGGCTGTGCGGCGACTCGGGTGGTTTGGGTGCCTGTAGCGTGTGGGAGAGGGATTTGGCCGCAGAGATGCTTCAACCTCCGAGATGTGTGTACTACCGGGTGGGGGGGGGCCTGGTGGAGGAGGGGGTAGTGGGCCGGTAAGGGGTGGCTGGGTGTTGGTAGGAGTCGGGGAGCATGGCTCCTCTAGGAAGACCAGAGCCCTGGCTGCTCCACGTGGTGCTCTAAGGAGCCCCTGAGGGTGGGGGCAGAGGTGTGCTGCCCTTGGGGGTGAAGGAAGGAGTGAGGGAAGGGGCGGGGAGGGGTGAGAGGTGAGAGAAGGGGTGCCCTCGGGTGACTCTGCTCTTGTCGCACCCGCGTGCTCTCCCGGTGGACCGCCTGCAACCGTGGGGTCAGGCGTTGGGGACGGAGAGGGGGGCTGGCCATGGAGCAGCGTGGGGGTCGGGGAGCACGGCTCCGCCAAGAAGGCCAGGGCCTTGGCTGCCCCCCTGGACACTACCGGGACCTGAGGGTGGGGGTGGGGAAGTGGTGCTCCTGGGGGCTGGTGGGCTGGAGGACGGGAGGTGAGGATGGGGGCTCCCTCGCGCGGCTCTGTCCTCAAGGTCTCCCCCAGCCCCTCCATCGGTCCTTCTGCTAGCATGGGGACGGGCATGGGGGGTAGAGGGGGAACCTCGACGTGAGGCTGCAGGGGGGCCGGGTCGGCCTCACCGTCAAGCGTGAGGTATTGGGCCAGTGGCCCGTCAATGTGCATCACATCCTCTCCCTCATCCTCCTCTATCGCTATCACATCCCCCTCTTCAGTGCCCACCCCGGTCGGGACCACCCTCCCCTCTCCTTCCCCTGTTGCCCCTATGTCCCCCAAGCCCACCCCGCCTGCTGCCGCTTTACTGCTAGCCCCTTTTGCAGTCTCTGCCGGCCCTGCCGGCCCTGCTGTGTGTTTCCCCGAGTTTGCTGCGGCCCCTGCCGCCCCTACTGGCCGTGCTATGGCCCTCCCTGCTGCTTCAGCTGCAGCCTCACCTTCTGCCTTTGAGGCCCCTGCCGTACCCTCTCTTGCTACAGCCGGGGCGGCACTCTCCCTCGCACCAGTCCCCGTTACCCCCTTCCCCGCTGCACCCGTAGCACCTCCCCCTATACCAGCCCCCGCTGTGGCCTCTGTCGCTCCTGCTGCAGTCCTTGCAGCCTCGACTGCTGCAGTCTGTAAAACCTCGCCTACCGTAATCTGCTCAGCCTCACCAGCCGCGATCCCTGTAGCCTCACGTGCTGCAGTCCCTGCAGCCTCACGTGCTGCAGTCCCTGCAGCCTCACCCGCTGCAGTCCCTGCGGCCTCACCTGCTGCAGTCTGTGCAGCCTCACCTGCTAGAATCTGCTCAACCTCACATGCTGCGGCCTCTGCAGCCTCACCTGCTGCGGCTATTTCAGCCTCACCTGCTGCGCTCCCTGCGGCCTCACCTGCCATGGTCCCGCCTGCAGCCTCATCCGCTGTGGTCCCTGCCGCCTCACCTGCTGCAGTCCCTGCGGCCTCACCTGTTGCAGTCCATGCGACCTCACCAGCTGTAGACTGTGCAGCCTCACCTGCTAGAGTCTGCCCAACCTTACATGATGCAGCCCTCGCAGCCTCACCTGCTGCGTCCGCCGCAGCCTCACCTGCTGTGGCCCCTGCAGTCCCGCCTGCTGCGCTCCCTGCAGCCTCGCCTGCTGCGCTCCCTGCAGCCTCGCTTGCTGCGCTCCCTGCGGCCTCACCTGCTGCGCTCTCTGCAGCCTCACCTGCTGCGCCCCCTACAGCCTCACCTGCTGCGCTCCCCGCAGCCTCACCTACTGCGCTCCCTGCGGCCTCACCTGCCATGGTCCCTCCTGCAGCCTCACCCGTTGTGATCCCTGCAGCCACACCTGCTGTGGTCTGTGCGGCCTCACCTGGTGCGGTCCCTATAGCCTCCTCTGCTGCGGTTCCCCCAGCCGACACAGCAGCAGGTTCCGTGGCCCCTACTCCTGCAAAACCTGTCTCCATGGCCTCTGCCCTTTGCCTGGCCAGAGTCACGGTCCCTGCCGCCCCTTCCCGTGCAGCCCCTGCCGCCCTTTCCCGTGCAGCCGCTGCTGCCCCTTCCCTTGCAGCCTCTGCTGCCCTTTCCTCTGCAGCCTCTGCTGCCCCTTCCCCCACAACCCCCATTGCCCCTTCCCGTGCAGCCTTTGCTGCCCCATCCTCTGTAGCCTCTGCTGCTCCTTCACACACAAACTCACTTACCCCTTCCCGTGCAGTGTCAGCTGCAAGTTCCCCCCTGGCTCTGCCCTCTCCCGCTTCTATGTGCTTGGGGGTGCGGGTAGGATTAAGTGTTTTCACAAGTAATCTGGTTTGCGAATGGGAGGTAGCGAGTGAGTTGGAGGATCTCTCTACTGAGCATGCATGGGTGCCGCCCCCGCTGTCACCTGAAGGGGGGGTAGACTGGGATGGGGCAGCGGGGGTAGGGCGCGGTTTTGAGCGTGCTGGCTCCTCCTCGTGTATTTCCTCCAGTGGGGCTTGGCGTTCCTCTGTTCCATCCTCTTCAAAGGTACGCTTCTGGCCCCTAGGGTCAGATTGTGTGAGTGTTTTCGCTTGGTCAGGTGTGTGTTGTTTCTTCCTGACTGTTGAAGTGGGGGGAGTGGGAGAGTAGGGGGTGGCTCGGCTGCGGGACCTCCCAGATCGCCGAGGGGCTCCCGGGCCTGCCTTTCCCCCACTCGCGGGGTGCTGGGGCATTGTTACAGAGGCAGCATGCCTGGCGGTGGCGGTGTGAGTTGCTGGGGTTGGCTCAAGAGGGCGTCAAAGGGGGAAGGAACTCCCTGGCAGAGGCCGGGGTGCGGGGGGTTAGCTTGGGGAAAGGGGAAAAGGGTGGGGAAAGCGGTGCGCAGTGGGTGGAAGAGAGGGTAGAGGGGGCCTGACAGTTGGAGGGGATTGGGGCCCAAGGGGGGGGCGGGCTGGGGGCCGATTGAGAGGGGAAGTGTTGGCGGGCTGTAGTGGAGGTGGGGGGGCGGGGGTGGTGTAGCGGTGGGTGAGCAGGGTGTGGGGACAGGTGGTGGGCCAGAGGTGGGGAGGGCAGGGCAGAATTCCACGGGAGGTGGGGGTGGGCAGGTGGAGCCAGGTGGGAAAGGAAGGGTGGGGAACAGAGAGGAAGGGGCAAAGGGTAGTGGGTAGTCGAGTTGGCGTGAGCCTGGTAGCGGGTAATGAGAAGGTTGGGAGGCGGGGGGTGAGAACGTGGGAGGGCAGAGAGGGCACCGAAAGGAGGTGCTGTGGTAAATGCAGGATAGGATGCGGGGCCGGGAAACAGGGGACAGAGGGAATTGGGGAATCGATGAAGGGTGATAGCTGCGGATGGGCGAGCCCCAGGGGGGAGGAAATATGGAGGGTGTTGGAGAAGGGGGAGACTGGGGGGGGTTGAGGTAGGGTGTTGGAGGGCACAAGGGGCAGGAACAGGGGGTGCAAAAGTTGGCTGGGGGAGGGAGAGGCGGTCTGGTGCCGCGGAAAGGCGGAGGGAGGTTGGGGACGGCACAGCCCAGGGAGCAAAAGCAAGGGGTGTAGACCTTGGCTGGGGGTAGGAACGGCGGTGTGGAGTTAGGGAGAGGTAGAGGGAGGCTGGGGTAGGTGGCTGGATTGCGCAGGGAGCAGGGGCAGGGGGTGTAGAGATTGGATGGGGGTGGGAAAGGCGGCGTGGTGCCAGGTGGCGGCAGTTGGGTCACCGAAGGGCCTGGCAGGGCGGGATGCAGAGGTGCAGCCCACGCTGGATGCGGAAGTAGCTGGGGGGGAAAGGGAGGCTGGAGGGGGAAGTACGGCTCGTAGAGGTGTGGGGGGCAGAGTGGGAGTGGGGAAAGCAGGAAGGGGGGTGGAGGGACGTTGTGGACAGGGGAGTGGGGGAACATGCGGGTGATGATAGGGAGAAGCCGGGGGGGGGGGAGAAGGGGGAGGTGGTATGAAGTGGGCAAGGGTGACGCACGGGCAGAGCGCGGCGGTACTAAGGGCAGGGAGACGGGAGGCTGGGGGGAGAAAGGCCTGCTTGGGGGCGTGGTGGGGGATAAGGGGAGAGGGGCGGTAATGCTGGTGGGCAAAAGGGGAGGGTGTGGTGTAGTATGATGAAACAGAATGGGGGGGTGGCGGACTGGGTGGGGCCCTGGAGGGTTGGGAGAACAAGGTGTAAGCTGCCTTTCTGATTTTTCCTGGTTTTTTCGGATTTATATGAATTTCTTTTTCTTTTCTTTTTTCCTTGAAGTTGTTTCCTCTTATTTCCTACGGTTTCCAGAAACAGGGCGGCCTCTGCTAGCTAAGCGCCGTTAGGGAAAGAGGTTAGGTGGCGGGGTGGCTAAAGCGCGCGTGTGAGGGGGAAAGGGGCGGTGTGAGCAGGGAGGTGACTATGTGGGTGGCGACGGGGTAAAATTACGACGTGTGGGTGGCATGCACGAGTGCGCGACGAGGCACGGCAGGGTGGGAGTGAGCAAAAGGGGAGTGGGGCGGCTTGTGTGCCAAACGTGGGCGGCTAAAACGCTCTAGGCAGAAAACGCGCTTCGGGAGGCGCGCAAGGGGAGGGCTGCTTAATCGCTACGAACGTAGCAATTTCGCCTCCCTCCGCGCTGCCTTTCCCTGGCGGTAAGCGCCCCGTGCGCGGTTCCGTCTACGTCGCGGCTAGATTGAACAGGCGGGGAAAACGAGTGCATGACTAAACATGATAGGCGACGAGAAAGCGTGCTTGGAAACGCGCGGCTCTTCGAATTAGGGTTACGATAAAGAAGGGCGCACCGAAAGGGAAGGAAGAGTGCTAACTACGGGCGGAAGCTAAGCTCAGTGACTTCGAGAGAGGGAAACCGCGGGAAAAAACTCGGTAGCAGCTAATCGCTTTGGCGAGAGCAGTACTGGGCTGGGTGACCTCCCGGGAAGTCCTCGTGTTGTACCCATTTATGCCCCTTGCTCGGCACGTGCCGGGGGAGGGGCAAGCGGGAAAAAGAAAGGACGATTTCAGCGCGTCCGATTTTTTCATTTTCGTTTTTTTGCCCGAACAACGACCCAGCGGGGTGGGGGGCCCCCGGGGAGGCTTGCCCGTGCGAAGAAACGCCCCGTGCGCACCACCGTTGGGCGGTTGGAAGCCGCACACGGTCGCGGGGGTGGAGAGCGGAAACGGGCAGCCGGGGGAGGGTGGGGGCGGTTGGATGGGACTGGGGTGTACGGGGGGCAGGGGAGTTGAGGGGGCAAGGGGAGGGGCAGCAACGGGCAGGGGCTGGGCCAAGCTGAGGGCACGGAAAAGGGGCGGGCAGAGGGTGAGCAGAGGGGCGAGCGATGCAAGGGAGGCACCATAGGGGGGGGAAACCAGTTGCACGGAGGTGGGAGGTGAGGGGCGTGCGAGGGGGTGGGAAAGGGGCAGGGAGGGGCAGAATGGGAGGATGTGGGTGGGGGGTGGGGGAGGGGAGTGTGCGTGTGTGTGTGTGAGAAAGAGAGAGAGGGAAAGGGAGGGGGGGAGAGAAGGGTGGGAGGGGGGCTGGTGGTGGGGATGGGCTGATGGTGGTAAGAGGGCAGCAGGGATGGGGAGAAGGGAGCGTAACGAGGGGAGAGCAAAGGGCAGGGGGGGAGGAAGGGAGGGGCAGGGAGGGAAGAGGCTGAACGTACAAAGGGGGGGAAACGAGGGGCATGGATGGTAGGAAACAAGGGCAGGGGTGCGGGAAATCAAGGGCAGGGAGGGGAGAAGCAATGGGTGAGGGGAAAACAAGGGAGGGGCAGAGGGGGTGGGCAGGGAGGGAAGAAACGTGGGGCAGGGAGGGGAGAAGCCAAAGACAGGGGCATGGGCAGGCGGGGGCAGGGAGGGAGCAGAGGAGAGGCACGGAGAAAGAAAGGGAGGCGCGGGGAGGGGAGAAACCGGGCGTGGGGGGGCGGAAAACGAGGGGCAGGGCGGGGAGGAGGGAGGGGCAGGGAGGGGAGAAGCTGAGCACACAGAGGGGGGAAAGGTGGGGCAGGGAGGTAGGAAGCCAAGGGCAAGGGTGGGAGAGTGGGGGGGCAGGGAGAGGGGGGAGGTGGGGGGCGGAGAAAGGCGGCGAGGGGCAGGGAGGGGAGAAACCAAGCATAGGGGGGCGAGATACGAGGGGCAGGGTGCGGATTGAGGAGGGGCAGGGAGTGGAGTGGGTCGGCGAGGGGAAGGAAGAGGCGTGCAGCAGAGGAGGGGAGGGGGGAGGAGAAGGTAAACGAGGGGAGCGCACGGGCGGGGAGGAGCGAATGGCGGGCGGTGGGAAACGGCGAGGGGGGCAGGGAGGGTCAAAAGAGGCGGCAAGGGAGCGGGCACGCGGAGGGTAGGGGCGGGGGGAGCGGATGGCATGAGGGGGCAGGGGGTGTGACTGTGAAGGGGGGACCCGGGCAAGGGGTGTGTACCGGTCGGGGCACGGGGTTGACGTGGTACGATCATACCTCGGCTACTACGCCGGATCCCATCAGAACTCCGAAGCTAAGCGCCGGTGGGCGAGAGCAGTACTGGGCTGGGTGACCTCCCGGGAAGTCCTCGTGTTGTACCCATTTATGCCCCTTGCTCGGCACGTGCCGGGGGAGGGGCAAGCGGGAAAAAGAAAGGACGATTTCAGCGCGTCCGATTTTTTTATTTTCGTTTCTTTGCCCGAACAACGACCCAGCGGGGTGGGGGGCCCCCGGGGAGGCTTGCCCGTGCGAAGAAACGCCCCGTGCGCACCACCGTTGGGCGGTTGGAAGCCGCACACGGTCGCGGGGGTGGAGAGCGGAAACGGGCAGCCGGGGGAGGGTGGGGGCGGTTGGATGGGACTGGGGTGTACGGGGGGCAGGGGAGTTGAGGGGGCAAGGGGAGGGGCAGCAACGGGCAGGGGCTGGGCCAGCTGAGGGCACGGAAAAGGGGCGGGCAGAGGGTGAGCAGAGGGGCGAGCGATGCAAGGGAGGCACCATAGGGGGGGGAAACCAGTTGCACGGAGGTGGGAGGTGAGGGGCGTGCGAGGGGGTGGGAAAGGGGCAGGGAGGGGCAGAATGGGAGGATGTGGGTGGGGGGTGGGGGAGGGGAGTGTGCGTGTGTGTGTGTGAGAAAGAGAGAGAGGGAAAGGGAGGGGGGGAGAGAAGGGTGGGAGGGGGGCTGGTGGTGGGGATGGGCTGATGGTGGTAAGAGGGCAGCAGGGATGGGGAGAAGGGAGCGTAACGAGGGGAGAGCAAAGGGCAGGGGGGGAGGAAGGGAGGGGCAGGGAGGGAAGAGGCTGAACGTACAAAGGGGGGGAAACGAGGGGCATGGATGGTAGGAAACAAGGGCAGGGGTGCGGGAAATCAAGGGCAGGGAGGGGAGAAGCAATGGGTGAGGGGAAAACAAGGGAGGGGCAGAGGGGGTGGGCAGGGAGGGAAGAAACGTGGGGCAGGGAGGGGAGAAGCCAAAGACAGGGGCATGGGCAGGCGGGGGCAGGGAGGGAGCAGAGGAGAGGCACGGAGAAAGAAAGGGAGGCGCGGGGAGGGGAGAAACCGGGCGTGGGGGGGCGGAAAACGAGGGGCAGGGCGGGGAGGAGGGAGGGGCAGGGAGGGGAGAAGCTGAGCACACAGAGGGGGGAAAGGTGGGGCAGGGAGGTAGGAAGCCAAGGGCAAGGGTGGGAGAGTGGGGGGGGCAGGGAGAGGGGGGAGGTGGGGGGCGGAGAAAGGCGGCGAGGGGCAGGGAGGGGAGAAACCAAGCATAGGGGGGCGAGATACGAGGGGCAGGGTGCGGATTGAGGAGGGGCAGGGAGTGGAGTGGGTCGGCGAGGGGAAGGAAGAGGCGTGCAGCAGAGGAGGGGAGGGGGGAGGAGAAGGTAAACGAGGGGAGCGCACGGGCGGGGAGGAGCGAATGGCGGGCGGTGGGAAACGGCGAGGGGGGCAGGGAGGGTCAAAAGAGGCGGCAAGGGAGCGGGCACGCGGAGGGTAGGGGCGGGGGGAGCGGATGGCATGAGGGGGCAGGGGGTGTGACTGTGAAGGGGGGACCCGGGCAAGGGGTGTGTACCGGTCGGGGCACGGGGTTGACGTGGTACGATCATACCTCGGCTACTACGCCGGATCCCATCAGAACTCCGAAGCTAAGCGCCGGTGGGCGAGAGCAGTTATTCATTAATAAGGGAAGAGCAAATACAAGCCGAATATAATGGTTTTTCCAAGACTAGGAAATTTCGACATAGCCTAAGCGCTATGAGGACGATTTATATATTTTGTAGGAAAAGGGGGAAAGAAAGGAAAGGAAGGAAAGATGAAGGAGTAAGAAGAAGTGGTAGGGAAAGGAAGAGGGTGGTAGGAAGAGAAGGGAAGGATAGAAGAAGGGAACAGAAAGAGGGAGGTGGGAAGAGAAGAGGAGAGAGAGAGAGAGACTAAGGAGAAGGAAGCACCAAAGGACCAAACACGGCAGCAACCCGCACGACCGCACGGGCACAGCGTTTCAAGCACAGCCACTATTGTTTTTTACACATATGCATCATATATATACTGCATATCAGCCACACTCTCGAAGCACCCTGTGACGTGGTGCCAAGTTCCCTGCCCCGCACCCAGTGGGACTGGTGCGGGCATCCACCCGTCGTCGGACCTCCCTAACTGCCGCACCGCATGCTGGATCATGCATTGAGCCTGCGCGCGCTGCAGTGCAACGGAGAGGCGTGTAGTGAGTCCTGCCTCAAATATCCGTGCCGATCCGTCATCCCCCCCACCTCTATCCCTCCTCCGCTGTGCTATCCTCTTTGCGCAGAGCCCCAGAAACTGACGCAGCGGCTCACTCAGAAGGCCAAAGGTCTCCGCCACGCACGCGTAAAAGTGTGGTGCCGGCTGCAGCCCCTCTAAGTGCGGCCCCCAGTGACGCAGCTTCTCCTGCACCCGCCTAGCTGCTGCCACTCCAATCTGTGTGGGGGTCGCCCGTCTCAGCTGCACGTTCCCCTCCCGCTGTGGATCCGCTATGGAGACATCCACAAGAACCATCAGACCCTGGCCAACGTCGCGGCAGGTGAGGTCTGGAATGCGGGAGGCGGTGCCTACACGGCCTGTGCGTCCGACTGGTCCCTGCTGTTGCGCTGGCTGCTGCCCTGTCTGGTCCCTTGGTGCCCCCTCTCCGATCGTCTCTCTCCCCCTCTCCTCTCCTCCATCCACCTGTCCTCTCCCCTCCCCCTCCCTACCCTCCCCCAAACCTCCCGACCCCCCTGCTCCATCCCCTGCTGCCTCTCTCACTCCCTGGCCCTCCCCTCCCAATCCCGCTGCCCCTCCTGTACCTCCGTCCGCTCTCTGCTGCTCCCGCCCCTGCCCCGCCCCCGAGGCCGAACCTGGAGGCGCGGCGCCCTGGGCCCGCGGCCTCCACTGGCTCTCCTGCTGCTGCCTGTGCCGTCCCCCCTCCCCGTCCTGGCCCGTCTGCTCCCCCTGCCGTCCCCTCTGCCCACCTGTCCCTCGCTCCACCTGACCCCGCAGCTGGTGCCGTCCCCACTGTCCCCCGCCACCCGGCTGTCCCGCCTCGCCTCTCCGCTCCCCCGGTCCCTCAGCCCGTGTCCCCTCTCCCACCACTGGCTGTCCCAGTAGTCTCGCTCGAGCCGCCTCCAACTGTGTGAACAGCGTAGAGTCCTCCACCTTTACCGCGAAGCCCGCCTCGACCGCAAAGTCTCGAAGCATGTACTTCACCGTGTCGTGGATGGTAGTGGCGACCCCGTAACGCGGGCACCGAACCGCGTGATGAGGCACCGTCATGTCGTCAATCGCCTGTCCGCAGGAGCACTGACCTGCAAGGGCTAACTGGGGGATAGGGAGACCAAGACGAGAAGATGAAGCCGCCTGCCACAGCGCCTCCGGGATGCGCAGTGGGTCGGCGTACGGCACCGACGTCAACCACGCTCCTGCACCTCCGCCCTGAAGGGAAGTCAAACGGGCAAGGTGCAAGGGAGAGGTGTGACGGGCACGCACGGCCTCCAAGGCATGCGCCTCCAGAAGACGGCTCGCTCCTGCAAAAAGGGAATCGGGGGAGGCAGAAGCGCAAGAGGGCCAGGGGGGAAGGAGAGAGAGAACGTCAGGAGGGAGACCCTCTAGCGCCGTCTGCAGAGCCCGGTCGATCTGCTCTGGCTCACCTGAAGCGAAGCTCTGCCGAAACACCTCGCCACACGCAGGGAGAGAACAGAGAATGGGTGCACACTGCACCCAGGAGCACACGAAACTCACCGGGGCCATGCGCGCCATGCGACGAATGCCGAAACCCCCGAGACGGATGGGGAGGAAGATCTGGTCTAGGGCGGCCTCTCGGACGTCCTCGCGACAAGCCCAGGTCCCTGAAGCTAAAAGCTGCTGAAAAGTCTCTCCCAGGCGTGCGTCCCACCGTGTAAAACTGGAGATCACTGCGGGCGAAGGAGGGACGGTCCTCGACAGGTACTGCGGACGAGTGCTGACACACGCCGAAAGAAGGCGGGCAGCTGTCTGGGGCTGGCGCAACCTCGGAAGCCAAGGTAGCACCCGCCCCATCCTCTCGAGACGATCCGGGAGACTCTGCTCCACGAACGAAACGGTGCCTACCGGTACGCCTGTCACGGTGAGCCCTCGGCGTGCGACCTCGATCCCTAGGCCCGTGAAAGCCTCCAGATCCCTGGACAGAAAGGACTCTGTCTGGTAGACGAGGCACTTGTGCGGCTGGGCTGCAAGGCCCATCTCGCCCAAGCGCCTCACGATCTCGGCAAAATGGTGCAGCACCCTGTCTGGGGGACCTAGCACGTACGTGTCATCGGCGTACGACCAGAGCTGGACATCCCCCTCCGCCAGAACCGGCTCCAAAGCAAGACGCTGTGTCAGAGCGTACAAGAAGGGGCTGAGAGGGTCTCCCTGGCGAGTGCCCCGCTCCGAGTGCATCGTGACCACTCCCGTGCCTGACCTGTAGTGGAGATCCGAGGGCGTCCCGTAGAAGAGGCCGATGAAGGGGATCAGACACTGAAACTCCGGACTGGCCTGCAGCGCCTGAAACATCCTGTCTCGGTGGAAAGAGTTAAAGGCATTCGCCACGTCTAGCTGCAGGACCACCCAGTCTGGGTGGTCAGCCAGAGCGCGGCGGACGCCTCTAACTACGACCTCTGTCCCGCACGTAACCCCCACCCCAAACTGCTGTGATGCCAAGAAGACCCTCGCCATCTGGTCACGTAGCTGGAGACAAACTGCCCGAGAAAGAATGCGGACCAAAACCTCGCCGATGGCAATCGGCCGAACATCCATGTTCGACTTCGCCAGAGCCACGAGGGTGGAGGACGCTAGCAAGGAGCGCGCAGCTGGAGCGCAACGGCCTCGGAGCCACTGCTGGTACACGGCCAGGAGGAAATGGAGACTCTGAGGGAAAGCTAGGAAAGTGTCTCGCAGGTGCTCAGCGACCCAACCGGACGGTCCTCCCGAAGAGCCCCGCGGAGCTGTGAAAATCGCGCGGCGTAAGTGATCCACCGAGAGCACGAGAGGGGACCCCTGGAAGCCAGACAGCCAAGCTGGGGTCGGCCTCTCCGCGTTGGGGTGCTTCGACTGCAGGCGCTGTATCGTCCCCTGTGTATCTGGGGCTGCCTCCGCGGACTCGAGAGCCGCGCACGCCCGTGAGGTCTCATTGCACGCTGCCAGACGAAGGCAACGTGCAATGCGGCGCTCATCTGCTGCAGAGGGATCGGTGGCGGTGCGTGACCGGTGACCTGTGCGGCGAGGAAGGGGTGTGCGACGGCCTAGTGCATCTGAGACTAGCTCAGCCCACTCACCTCGACCAAAGCGAGAGATGCGCGTTGCAATGGCAGCCGTGTGCGAGCGGTCGGGTGGCGTCGCTGGAACAAGGAAAAGAGTCGGCGCTGCAGCGAGGAGGAAGGTAGGGCCAGCAGCCTCCGGGTCCTGGGCAATGCGGACTAGGATCGCACTGAGGACGTCAAGATATCCTCCGCGGACCCTCTCCGGGACACGTCGGAGAGGGCGTGTATGGATACGCTCGGGCGAGAAGTACTCTGTCCAGTCCACCGAGTCGAGCGTCTGCCACTGTGCGTCGGTGAACTGCATCCCGGTCGCACGGGGCTGTGAGAGGGAAGGGATGATCGAGGCGGTATCATGGGCAGCCTGCGCCCTGCGAGCCGCGTCCGCAGGATGGCAGAAGGGAATGTGGTGCTGGAGCGCGCGTCGGTTCGCGAGAGAGCTCCTGCAGGTGGGGCAACTCACGACCTGGTCGGGTGATGTCGCCGTGTCGGCGGGGTCAATCGGGGCCGTGGCGTCGGAACTGGCTGTAGAGGGGACCCCGTGGGCGGCCTGAGCTCCGACAGGATCGCCTGGGATGAGGGGAGGAGACGACTCACCAGCCCCGCGCGGGGGGGGTGTCAGCGAAGATAGAGGTGGTGTCGCACAGGATAGGGCCGGGCCTCGTGCCGGCACCGGTGTTGAAGCTGGGGAGGGGGGACGTGGAGGTGAGCCTGAAGTGTGTGCCGTGGTGTGCTCCTGCCCCTCGGCGGGGTGCGGTTCAAGTGACGGCTCTGCTACCCCAGGCGGAGGGGTCTCGGTAGGGGCGGATGCCTCATCCCTACTGCTGGTGACCTCCTGCGCCACGGGCTGAACGGGGGGAGGCGCCACCCCGTCTAGGTGCGAGTGACACGGCCTCAGACCCCGGTCCGTCTCCATTGGGGTCGGGAGTGACGCGCCTGGCTGAGTGGCGGGGGGGATAAAAGAAGGGACAGACCGGGTGACCTCCGCATACGTCCGGGTCCGGTCCTGTGGGACTGGAAGGGTGGGGGCAGCCGGAGAGCTGCTCAGGCGGTGTATCGCCAGCAAATCTGAAATGCCAGCCCTCACCTCCTCTGGGGTCTCGAAGACCTGCCTGCCTGTAGGTGAGAGTAGGAGGGCTGGCAGGGTAGAGGGTGGAGTGGGGCGTGCTGGCTGAGCGGAGCTCGGGTGTGGACCCTGCCCTAGAAGGCCCCCTTGGCCCTCCCCAATCACCATGGGTTGCGGTAGGGGGTCGTCGACATGGAAGGGGTGGGAGGGATGGGAGGGGGAGTCGGTGGCGTCTGCCATGGGCGCATCCCTCAACCCGACGGCCCCCCTCCCAGTAGCGATCGCGGCCGCCGCCACCTGGGAGGGGGACACAGCACGGGAGGGGCAGAATGGGGGTGAGTGGGCTGGTCCGCTCCCATGGCCCTGTGGAGGTGCAGGAGCGGGGCGGGAGTGTAGGTTTGGTGGACGGGCTGTAGAGGTAGGGCCTGGTAATTGTTCAACGGGATGTGAGGTGGGGAGGGGCTCTTGGTGGGGGAGGGAGGGAGGGGGGAGTACGTGGGCTGACCCTCTGCCTCCTCTGCCCCTGTTCTTCCGCCGGCGGCCAACCTGGTTGTCCGCGCCTGTTTGTGAAGGAAGGGGGGGCTGTGGGGCCAAAGGGGTGGGTGGAGGGAGGATGGGTGGTTCGCCAGGCAGGGGGTGCTCTGTGTGCATCCCCACTCTCCTCGAAACATCCCCCTCCGTGGGAACAGATCGGGCAAGCTGTGTGTGGGGGGTGATGGCTGCCCAACGGGGCCACTCGTGGGGAACCCGGCCGGGAGAGGGGGTTGGAGGTGGGGGTCGAGGGGCTGGGCCAGTGTGGAGGTTAGAGCGAGGTACAAACGGTGGGGGGAGAGAGATTTGTGTGGGCTCTGTGGTGGCCTCTCCTGTGGGCCCCTCTACCCGGGTGCCGCCGCTCCCATGAGCCTGGGGCGCAAGCCCTTGCGGGTGGGTCTCGGCTGCCTGGGGGGGGTGGTGTGGGGAGGGCAGCCTGTTGGGTGGGCGTGTTGGGGCTGTGCGGCGACTCGGGTGGTTTGGGTGCCTGTAGCGTGTGGGAGAGGGATTTGGCCGCAGAGATGCTTCAACCTCCGAGATGTGTGTACTACCGGGTGGGGGGGGGCCTGGTGGAGGAGGGGGTAGTGGGCCGGTAAGGGGTGGCTGGGTGTTGGTAGGAGTCGGGGAGCATGGCTCCTCTAGGAAGACCAGAGCCCTGGCTGCTCCACGTGGTGCTCTAAGGAGCCCCTGAGGGTGGGGGCAGAGGTGTGCTGCCCTTGGGGGTGAAGGAAGGAGTGAGGGAAGGGGCGGGGAGGGGTGAGAGGTGAGAGAAGGGGTGCCCTCGGGTGACTCTGCTCTTGTCGCACCCGCGTGCTCTCCCGGTGGACCGCCTGCAACCGTGGGGTCAGGCGTTGGGGACGGAGAGGGGGGCTGGCCATGGAGCAGCGTGGGGGTCGGGGAGCACGGCTCCGCCAAGAAGGCCAGGGCCTTGGCTGCCCCCCTGGACACTACCGGGACCTGAGGGTGGGGGTGGGGAAGTGGTGCTCCTGGGGGCTGGTGGGCTGGAGGACGGGAGGTGAGGATGGGGGCTCCCTCGCGCGGCTCTGTCCTCAAGGTCTCCCCCAGCCCCTCCATCGGTCCTTCTGCTAGCATGGGGACGGGCATGGGGGGTAGAGGGGGAACCTCGACGTGAGGCTGCAGGGGGGCCGGGTCGGCCTCACCGTCAAGCGTGAGGTATTGGGCCAGTGGCCCGTCAATGTGCATCACATCCTCTCCCTCATCCTCCTCTATCGCTATCACATCCCCCTCTTCAGTGCCCACCCCGGTCGGGACCACCCTCCCCTCTCCTTCCCCTGTTGCCCCTATGTCCCCCAAGCCCACCCCGCCTGCTGCCGCTTTACTGCTAGCCCCTTTTGCAGTCTCTGCCGGCCCTGCCGGCCCTGCTGTGTGTTTCCCCGAGTTTGCTGCGGCCCCTGCCGCCCCTACTGGCCGTGCTATGGCCCTCCCTGCTGCTTCAGCTGCAGCCTCACCTTCTGCCTTTGAGGCCCCTGCCGTACCCTCTCTTGCTACAGCCGGGGCGGCACTCTCCCTCGCACCAGTCCCCGTTACCCCCTTCCCCGCTGCACCCGTAGCACCTCCCCCTATACCAGCCCCCGCTGTGGCCTCTGTCGCTCCTGCTGCAGTCCTTGCAGCCTCGACTGCTGCAGTCTGTAAAACCTCGCCTACCGTAATCTGCTCAGCCTCACCAGCCGCGATCCCTGTAGCCTCACGTGCTGCAGTCCCTGCAGCCTCACGTGCTGCAGTCCCTGCAGCCTCACCCGCTGCAGTCCCTGCGGCCTCACCTGCTGCAGTCTGTGCAGCCTCACCTGCTAGAATCTGCTCAACCTCACATGCTGCGGCCTCTGCAGCCTCACCTGCTGCGGCTATTTCAGCCTCACCTGCTGCGCTCCCTGCGGCCTCACCTGCCATGGTCCCGCCTGCAGCCTCATCCGCTGTGGTCCCTGCCGCCTCACCTGCTGCAGTCCCTGCGGCCTCACCTGTTGCAGTCCATGCGACCTCACCAGCTGTAGACTGTGCAGCCTCACCTGCTAGAGTCTGCCCAACCTTACATGATGCAGCCCTCGCAGCCTCACCTGCTGCGTCCGCCGCAGCCTCACCTGCTGTGGCCCCTGCAGTCCCGCCTGCTGCGCTCCCTGCAGCCTCGCCTGCTGCGCTCCCTGCAGCCTCGCTTGCTGCGCTCCCTGCGGCCTCACCTGCTGCGCTCTCTGCAGCCTCACCTGCTGCGCCCCCTACAGCCTCACCTGCTGCGCTCCCCGCAGCCTCACCTACTGCGCTCCCTGCGGCCTCACCTGCCATGGTCCCTCCTGCAGCCTCACCCGTTGTGATCCCTGCAGCCACACCTGCTGTGGTCTGTGCGGCCTCACCTGGTGCGGTCCCTATAGCCTCCTCTGCTGCGGTTCCCCCAGCCGACGCAGCAGCAGGTTCCGTGGCCCCTACTCCTGCAAAACCTGTCTCCATGGCCTCTGCCCTTTGCCTGGCCAGAGTCACGGTCCCTGCCGCCCCTTCCCGTGCAGCCCCTGCCGCCCTTTCCCGTGCAGCCGCTGCTGCCCCTTCCCTTGCAGCCTCTGCTGCCCTTTCCTCTGCAGCCTCTGCTGCCCCTTCCCCCACAACCCCCATTGCCCCTTCCCGTGCAGCCTTTGCTGCCCCATCCTCTGTAGCCTCTGCTGCTCCTTCACACACAAACTCACTTACCCCTTCCCGTGCAGTGTCAGCTGCAAGTTCCCCCCTGGCTCTGCCCTCTCCCGCTTCTATGTGCTTGGGGGTGCGGGTAGGATTAAGTGTTTTCACAAGTAATCTGGTTTGCGAATGGGAGGTAGCGAGTGAGTTGGAGGATCTCTCTACTGAGCATGCATGGGTGCCGCCCCCGCTGTCACCTGAAGGGGGGGTAGACTGGGATGGGGCAGCGGGGGTAGGGCGCGGTTTTGAGCGTGCTGGCTCCTCCTCGTGTATTTCCTCCAGTGGGGCTTGGCGTTCCTCTGTTCCATCCTCTTCAAAGGTACGCTTCGACGTGTGGGCGAGAGCAGTACTGGGCTGGGTGACCTCCCGGGAAGTCCTCGTGTTGTACCCATTTATGCCCCTTGCTCGGCACGCGCCGGGGGAGGGGCAAGCGGGAAAGAGATAGGACGATTTTAGCGCGTCCGATTCTTTCATTTTCGTTTTTTTGCCCAAACAACGACCCAGCGGGGTGGGGGGCCCCCGGGGAGGCTTGCCCGTGCGAAGAAACGCCCCGTGCGCACCACCGTTGGGCGGTTGGAAGCCGCACACGGTCGCGGGGGTGGAGAGCGGAAACGGGCAGCCGGGGGAGGGTGGGGGCGGTTGGATGGGACTTGGGGTGTACGGGGGGCAGGGGAGTTGAGGGGGCAAGGGGAGGGGCAGCAACGGGCAGGGGCTGGGCCAACTGAGGGCACGGAAAAGGGGCGGGCAGAGGGTGAGCAGAGGGGCGAGCGATGCAAGGGTGGCACCATAGGGGGGAAACCAGTTGCACGGAGGTGGGAGGTGAGGGGCGTGCGAGGGGGTGGGAAAGGGGCAGGGAGGGGCAGAATGGGAGGATGTACGTGGGGGGGGTGGGGGAGGGGAGTGTGCGTGTGTGTGTGTGTGAGAAAGAGAGAGAGAGAGAGAGAGAGAGAGAGAGAGAGAGAGAGGGAGGGGGGGATTGAAGGGTGGGAGGGGGGCTGGTCGTGGGGATGGGCTGATGGTGGTAAGAGGGCAGCAGGGATGGGGAGAAGGGAGCGTAACGAGGGGAGAGCAAAGGGCAGGGGGGGAGGAAGGGAGGGGCAGGGAGGGAAGAGGCTGAACGTACAAAGGGGGGAAACGAGGGGCATGGATGATAGGAAACGAGGGCAGGGGTGTGGGAAATCAAGGGCAGGGAGGAGAGAAGCAATGGGTGAGGGGAAAACAAGGGAGGGGCAGACGGGGGGCAGGGAGGGAAGAAACGTGGGGCAGGGAGGGGAGAAGCCAAAGACAGGGGCATGGGCAGGCGGGGGCAGGGAGGGAGCAAAGGAGAGGCACGGAGAAAGAAAGGGAGGCGCGGGGAGGGGAGAAACCGGGCGTGGGGGGGGGCGGAAAATGAGGGGCAGGGCGGGGAGGAGGGAGGGGCAGGGAGGGGAGAAGCTGAGCACACGGAGGGGGGAAAGGTGAGGCAGGGAGGTAGGAAGCCAAGGACAAGGGGGGGGGAGAGTGGGGGGGCAGGGAGAGGGGGGAGGTGGGGAGCGGGGAAAGGCGGCGAGGGGCAGGGAGGGGAGAAACCAAGCATAGGGGGGTGAGATACGAGGGGCAGGGTGCGGATTGAGGAGGGGCAGGGAGTGGAGTGGGTCGGCGAGGGGAAGGAAGAGGCGTGCAGCAGAGGAGGGGAGGGGGGAGGAGAAGGTAAAGGAGGGGAGCGCACGGGCGGGGAGGAGCGAATGGCGGGCGGTGGGAAACGGCGAGGGGGGGCAGGGAGGGTCAAAAGAGGCGGCAAGGGAGCGGGCACGCGGAGGGTAGGGGCGGGGGGAGCGGATGGCATGAGGGGGCAGGGGGTGTGACTATGAAGGGGGGGACCCGGGCAAGGGGTGTGTAGCGGTCGGGGCACGAGGTTGACGTGGTACGATCATACCTCGGCTACTACGCCGGATCCCATCAGAACTCCGAAGCTAAGCGCCGGTGGGCGAGAGCAGTTATTCATTAATAGGGGAAGAGCAAATACAAGCCGAATATAATGGTTTTTCCAAGACTAGGAAATTTCGACATAGCCTTATCGCTATGAGGACGGTATATATATTTTGTAGGAAAAGGGGGAAAGAAAGGAAAGGAAGGAAGGATGAAGGAGTAAGAAGAAGTGGTAGGGAAAAGAAGAGGGTGGTAGGAAGAGAAGGGAAGGATAGAAGAAGGGAACAGAAAGAGGGAGGTGGGAAGAGAAGGGGAGAGAGGGAGAGAGACTAAGGAGGAGGAAGCACCAGAGGACCACAACACGGCAGCAACCCGCACGACTGCACGGGCACAGCGTTTCAAGCACAGCCACTATTGTTTTTTACACATATGCATCATATATATACTGCATATCAGCCACACTCTCGAAGCACCCTGTGACGTGGTGCCAAGTACCCTGCCCTGCACCCAGTGGGACTGGTGCGGGCATCCACCCGTCGTCGGATCTCCCTAACTGCCGCACCGCATGCTGGATCATGCATTGAGCCTGCGCGCGCTGCAGTGCAACGGAGAGGCGTGTAGTGAGTCCTGCCTCAAATATCCGTGCCGATCCGTCATCCCCCCCACCTCTATCCCTCCTCCGCTGTGCTATCCTCTTTGCGCAGAGCCCCAGAAACTGACGCAGCGGCTCACTCAGAAGGCCAAAGGTCTCCGCCACGCACGCGTAAAAGTGTGGTGCCGGCTGCAGCCCCTCTAAGTGCGGCCCCCAGTGCCGCAGCTTCTCCTGCACCCGCCTAGCTGCTGCCACTCCAATCTGTGTGGGGGTCGCCCGTCTCAGCTGCACGTTCCCCTCCCGCTGTGGATCCGCTATGGAGACATCCACAAGAACCATCAAACCCTGGCCAACGTCGCGGCAGGTGAGGTCTGGGATGCGGGAGGCGGTGCCTACACGGCCTGTGCGTCCGACTGGTCCCTGCTGTTGCGCTGGCTGCTGCCCTGTCTGGTCCCTTGGTGCCTCCTCTCCGATCGTCTCTCTCCCCCTCTCCTCTCCTCCCTCCACCTGTCCTCTCCCCTCCCCCTCTCTACCCTCCCCCAACCCTCCCGACCCCCCTGCTCCATCCCCTGCTGCCTCTCTCACTCCCTGGCCCTCCCCTCCCAATCCCGCTGCCCCTCCTGTACCTCCGTCCGCTCTCTGCTGCTCCCGCCCCTGCCCCTCCTCCGAGGCCGAACCTGGAGGCGCGGCGCCCTGGGCCCGCGGCCTCCACTGGCTCTCCTGCTGCTGCCTGTGCCGTCTCCCCTCCCCGTCCTGGCCCGTCTGCTCCCCCTGCCGTCCCCTCCGCCCACCTATCCCTCGCTCCACCTGACCCCGCAGCTGGTGCTGTCCCCACTGTCCCCCGCCACCCGGCTGTCCCGCCTCGCCTCTCTGCTCCCCCGGTCCCTCAGCCCGCGTCCCCTCTCCCACCACTGGCTGTCCCAGTAGTCTCGCTCGAGCCGCCTCCAACTGTGTGAACAGCGTAGAGTCCTCCACCTTTACCGCGAAGCCCGCCTCGACCGCAAAGTCTCGAAGCATGTACTTCACCGTGTCGTGGATGGTAGTGGCGACCCCGTAGCGCGGGCACCGAACCGCGTGATGGGGCACCGTCATGTCGTCAATCGCCTGTCCACAGGAGCACTGACCTGCAAGGGCTAACTGGGGGATCGGGAGACCAAGACGAGAAGATGAAGCCGCCTGCCACAGCGCCTCCGGGATGCGCAGTGGGTCAGCGTACGGCACCGACGTCAACCACGCCCCTGCACCTCCTCCCTGAAGGGAAGTCAAACGGGCAAGGTGCAAGGGAGAGGCGTGACGGGCACGCACGGCCTCCAAGGCCTGCGCCTCCAGAAGACGGCTCGCTCCTGCAAAAAGGGAATCGGGGGAGGCAGAAGCGCAGGAGGGCCAGGGGGGAAGGAGAGAGAGAACGTCAGGTGGGAGACCCTCTAGCGCCGTCTGCAGAGCCCGGTCGATCTGCTCTGGCTCACCTGAAGCGAAGCTCTGCCGAAACACCTCGCCACACGCAGGGAGAGAACAGAGAATGGGAGCACACTGCACCCAGGAGCACACGAAACTCACCGGGGCAATGCGTGCCATGCGACGAATGCCGAAACCCCCGAGACGGAATGGGGAGGAAGATCTGGTCTAGGGCGGCCTCTCGGACGTCCTCGCGACAAGCCCAGGTCCCTGAAGCTAAAAGCTGCTGAAATGTCTCTCCCAGGCGTGCGTTCCACCGTGTAAAACTAGAGATCACTGCGAGCGAAGGAGGGACGGTCCTCGACAGGTACTGCGGACGAGTGCTGACACACGCCGACAGAAGGCGGGCAGCTGTCTGGGGCTGGCGCAACCTCGGAAGCCAAGGTAGCACCCGCCCCATCCTCTCGAGACGATCCGGGAGACTCTGCTCCACGAACGAAACGGTGCCTACCGGTACGCCTGTCACGGTGAGCCCTCGGCGTGCGACCTCGATCCCTAGGCCCGTGAAGGCCTCCAGATCCCTGGACAGAAAGGACTCTGTCTGGTAGACGAGGCACTTGTGCGGCTGGGCTGCAAGGCCCATCTCGCCCAAGCGCCTCACGATCTCGGCAAAGTGGTGCAGCACCCTGTCTGGGGGACCTAGCACGTACGTGTCATCGGCGTACGACCAGAGCTGGACATCCCCCTCCACCAGAACCGGCTCCAAAGCAAGACGCTGTGTCAGAGCGTACAAGAAGGGGCTGAGAGGGTCTCCCTGGCGAGTGCCCCGCTCCGAGTGCATCGTGACCACTCCCGTGCCTGACCTGTAGTGGAGATCCGAGGGCGTCCCGTAGAAGAGGCCGATGAAGGGGATCAGGCACTGAAACTCCGGGCTGGCCTGTAACGCCTGGAACATCCAGTCTCGGTGGAAGGAGTTAAAGGCATTCGCCACGTCTAGCTGCAGGACCACCCAGTCTGGGTGGTCAGCCAGAGCGCGGCGGACGCCTCTAACTACGACCTCTGTCCCGCACGTAACCCCCACCCCAAACTGCTGTGACGCCAAGAAGACCCTCGCCATCTGGTCACGTAGCTGGAGACAGACTGCACGAGAAAGAATGCGGACCAAAACCTCGCCGATGGCAATCGGCCGAACATCCATGTTCGACTTCGCCAGAGCCACGAGGGTGGAAGACGCTAGCAAGGAGCGCGTAGCTGGAGCGCAACGGCCTCGGAGCCACTGCTGGTACACGGCCAGGAGGAAATGGAGACTCTGAGGGAAAGCTAGGAAAGTGTCTCGCAGGTGCTCAGCGACCCAACCGGACGGTCCTCCCGAAGAGCCACGCGGAGCTGTGAAAATTGCGCAGCGTAAGTGATCCACCGAGAGCACGAGAGGGGACCCCTGGAAGCCAGACTGCCAAGCTGGGGTCGGCCTCTCCGCGTTGGGGTGCTTCGACTGCAGGCGCTGTATCGTCCCCTGTGTATCTGGGGCTGCCTCCGCGGACTCGAGAGCCGCGCACGCCCGTGAGGTCTCATTGCACGCTGCCAGACGGAGGCAACGTGCAATGCGGCGCTCATCTGCTGTAGAGGGATCGGTGGCGGTGCGTGACCGGTGACCTGTGCGCCGAGGAAGGGGTGTGCGACGGCCTAGTGCATCTGAGACTAGCTCAGCCCACTCACCTCGACCAAAGCGGGAGATGCGCGTTGCAATGGCAGCCGTGTGCGAGCGGTCGGGTGGCGTCGCTGGAACAAGGAAAAGGGTCGGCACTGCAGCGAGGAGGAAGGTAGGGCCAGCAGCCTCCGGGTCCTGGGCAATGCGGACTAGGATCGCACTGAGGACGTCGAGATATCCTCCGCGGACCCTCTCCGGGACACGTCGGAGAGGGCGTGCATGGATACGCTCGGGCGAGAAGTACTCTGTCCAGTCCACCGAGTCGAGCGTCTGCCACTGTGCGTCGGTGAACTGTATCCCGGTCGCACGGGGCTGTGAGAGGGAAGGGATGATCGAGGCGGTGTCCTGGGCAGCCTGCGCCCTGCGAGCCGCGTCCGCAGGATGGCAGAAGGGAATGTGGTGCTGGAGCGCGCGTCGGTTCGCGAGAGAGCTCCTGCAGGTGGGGCAACTCACGACCTGGTCGGGTGATGTCGCCGTGTCGGCGGGGTCAATCGGGGCCGTGGCGTCGGAACTGGCTGTAGAGGGGACCCCGTGGGCGGCCTGAGCTCCGAGAGGATCGCCTGGGATGAGGGGAGGAGACGACTCACCAGCCCCGTGCATGGGGGGGTGCCAGCGAAGATAGAGGTGGTGTCGCACAGGATAGGGCCGGGCCTCGTGCCGGTACCGGTGTCGAAGCTGGGGAGGGGGGACGTGGAGGTGAGCCTGAAGTGTGTGCCGTGGTGTGCTCCTGCCCCTCGGCGGGGTGCGGTTCAAGTGACGGCTCTGCTACCCCAGGCGGAGGGGTCTCGGTAGGGGCGGATGCCTCATCCCTACTGCTGGTGACCTCCTGCGCCACGGGCTGAACGGGGGGAGGCGCCACCCCATCTAGGTGCGCGTGACACGGCCTCAGAACCTGGTCCGTCTCCATTGGGGTCGGGAGTGACGCGCCTGGCTGAGTGGCGGGGGGGAGAAAAGAAGGGACAGACCGGGTGACCTCCGCATACGTCCGGGTCCGGTCCTGTGGGACTGGAAGGGTGGGGGCAGCCGGAGAGCTGCTCGGGCGGTGTATCGCCAGCAAATCTGAAATGCCAGCCCTCACCTCCTCTGGGGTCTCGAAGACCTGCCTGCCTGTAGGTGAGAGTAGGAGGGCTGGCAGGGTAGAGGGTGGGGTGGGGCTTGCTGGCTGAGCGGAGCTCGGGTGTGGACCCTGCCCTAGAAGGCCCCCTTGGCCCTCCCCAATCACCATGGGTTGCGGTAGGGGGTCGTCGACATGGAAGGGGTGGGAGGGATAGGAGGGGGAGTCGGTGGCGTCTTCCATGGGCGCATCCCTCAACCCGACGGCCTCCATCCCCGTAGCGATCGCGGCCGCCGCCACCTGGGAGGGGGACACAGCAAGGGAGGGGCAGAATGGGGGAGAGTGGGCTGGTCCGCTCCCATGGCCCTGTGGAGGTGTAGGAGCGGGGCGGGAGTGTGGGTTTGGTGGTCGGGCTGTAGCGGTAGGGCCTGGTAAGGGTTCAACGGGATGCGGGGTGGGGAGGGGCTCTTGGTGGGGGAGGGAGGGAGGGGGGAGTACGTGGGCTGACCCTCTGCCTCCTCTGCCCCTGTTCTTCCGCCGGCGGCCAACCCGGTTGTCCGCGCCTGTTTGTGAAGGAAGGGGGGGCTGTGGGGCCAAAGGGGTGGTTGGAGGGAGGATGGGTGGTTCGCCGGGCGGGGGGTGCTCTGTGTGCATCCCCTCTCTCCTCGAGACATCCCCCTCCGTGGGGACAGATCGGGCAGGCTGTGTGTGGGGGGTGATGGCTGCCCAACGGGGCCACTCGTGGGGAACCCGGCCGGGAGGGGGGGTTGAAGGTGGGGGTCGAGGGGCTGGGCCAGTGTGGAGGTTAGAGCGAGGTACAAACGGTGGGGGGAGAGGGGTTTGTGTGGGCTCTGTGGTGGCCTCTCCTGTGGGCCCCTCTACCCGGGTGCCGCCGCTCCCATGAGCCTGGGGCGCAAGCCCTTGCGGGTGGGTCTCGGCTGCCTGGGGGGGGGTGGTGTGAGGGGGGCAGCCTGTTGGGTGGGCGTGTTGGGGCTGTGCGGCGACTCGGGTGGTTTGGGTGCCTGTAGCGTGTGGGAGAGGGATTTGGCCGCAGAGATGCTTCAACCTCCGAGATGTGTGTACTACCGGGTGGGGGGGGGCCTGGTGGAGGGGGGGGTAGTGGGCCGGTAGGGGGTGGCTGGGTGTTGGTAGGGGTCGGGGAGCATGGCTCCTCTAGGAAGGCCAGAGCCCTGGCTGCTCCACGTGGTGCTCAAAGGAGCCCCTGAGGGTGGGGGCAGAGGTGTTCTGCCCTTGGGGGTGAGGGGAGGAGTGAGGGAAGGGGCGGGGAGGGGTGAGAGGTGAGAGAAGGGGTGCCCTCGGGTGACTCTGCTCTTGTCGCACCCGCGTGCTCTCCCGGTGGGCCGCCTGCAACCGTGGGGTCAGGGGTTGGGGACGGAGAGGGGGGCTGGCCATGGAGCAACGTGGGGGTCGGGGAGCACGGCTCCGCCAAGAAGCCCAGGGCCTTGGCTGCCCCCCTGGATACTACCGGGACCTGAGGGTGGGGGTGGGGAAATGGTGCTCCTGGGGGTGGGTGGGCTGGAGGACGGGAGGTGAGGATGGGGGCTCCCTCGTGTGGCTCTGTCCTCAAGGTCTCCCCCAGCCCCTCCATCGGTCCTTCTGCTAGCATGTGGACGGGCATGGGGGGTAGAGGGGGAACCTCGACGTGAGGCTGCAGGGGGGCCGGGTCGGCCTCACCGTCAGGCGTGAGGTATTGGGCCAGTGGCCCGTCAATGTGCATCACATCCTCTCCCTCATCCTCCTCTATCGCTATCACATCCCCCTCTTCCAGTGCCCACCCCGGTCGGGACCACACTCACCTCTCCTTCCCCTGTTGCCCCTATGTCCCCCGAGCCCACCCCGCCTGCTGCCGCTTTACTGCTAGCCCCTTTTGCGGTCTCTGCCGGCCCTGCTGTGTGTTTCCTCGCATTTGCTGCGGCCCCTGCCGCCCCTACTGGCCGTGCTATGGCCCTCCCTGCTGCTTCAGCTGCAGCCTCACCTTCTGCCTTTGAGGCCACTGCTGTCCCTTCTCCCACTCTAGCCCCTGCCGTACCCTCTCTTGCTACAACCGAGGCAGCACTCTCCCTCACACCAGTCCCCGTTACCCCCTTCCCCGCTGCACCCGTAGCACCTCCCCCTGTACCGGCCCCCACTGTGGCCTCTGTCGCTCCTGCTGCAGTCCTTGCAGCCTCGACTGCTGCAGTCTGTAAAACCTCGCCTGCCGTAATCTGCTCAGCCTCACCAGCCGCGGTCCCTGCAGCCTTGCCTGCCGCGGTCCCTGCAGCCTCACGTGCAGCAGTCCCTGCAGCCTCACCTGCTGCAGTCCCTGCGGCCTCCCCTGCTGCAGTCTGTGCGGCCTCACCTGCTAGAATCTGCTCAACCTCAACTGCTGCGGCTATTTCAGCCTCACCTGCTGTGCTCCCTGCGGCCTCACCTGCCCTGGTCCCGCCTGCAGCCTCATCCGCTGTGGTCCCTGCAGCCTCACCTGCTGCAGTCCCTGCGGCCTCACCTATTGCAGTCCCTGCGACCTCACCAGCTGTAGCCTGTGCAGCCTCACCTGCTAGAGTCTGCCCAACCTTACATGCTGCAGCCCTCGCAGCCTCACCTGCTGCGTCCGCCGCAGCCTCACCTGCTGCGGCCCCTGCAGCCCCGCCTGCTGCGCTCCCCGCAGCCTCGCCTGCTGCGCTCCCTGCAGCCTCGCCTGCTGCGCTCCCTGCGGCCTCACCTGCTGCGCTCTCTGCAGCCTCCCCTGCTGCGCTCCCTACAGCCTCACCTACTGCGCTCTCTGCGGCTTCACCTGCCATGGTCCCTCCTGCAGCCTCACCCGTTGTGATCCCTGCAGCCACACCTGCTGTGGTCTGTGCGGCCTCGCCTGGTGCGGTCCCTATAGCCTCCTCTGCTGCGGTTCCCCCAGCCGACACAGCTGCAGGTTCTGTGGCCCCTACTCCTGCAAAACCTGTCTCCATGGCCTCTGCCCTTTGCCTGGCCAGAGTCACGGTCCCTGCCGCCCCTTCCCGTGCAGCCTCTGCCGCCCTTTCCCGTGCAGCCGCTGCTGCCCCTTCCCTTGCAGCCTCTGCTGCCCTTTCCTCTGCAACCTCTGCTGCCCCTTCCCCCACACCCCCCATTGCCCCTTCTTGTGCAGCCTTTGCTGCCCCATCCTCTGCAGCCTCTGCTGCTCCTTTGCACACACATTCACTTACCCCTTCCCGTGCAGTGTTAGCTGCAAGTTCCCCCCTGGCTCTGCCCCCTCCCGCTTCTATGTGCTTGGGGGTGCTAGTAGGATTAAGTTTTTTCACAAGTAATCTGGTTTACCTCCCGGGAAGTCCTCGTGTTGTACCCATTTATGCCCCTTGCTCGGCACGTGCCGGGGGAGGGGCAAGCGGGAAAAAGAAAGGACGATTTTAGCGCGTCCGATTCTTTTCTTTTCGTTTTTTTGCCCAAACAACGACCCAGCGGGGTGGGGGGCCCCCGGGGAGGCTTGCCCATGCGAAGAAACGCCCCGTGCGCACCACCGTTGGGCGGTTGGAAGCCGCACACGGTCGCGGGGGTGGAGAGCGGAAACGGGCAGCCGGGGGAGGGTGGGGGCGGTTGGATGGGACTTGGGGTGTACGGGGGGCAGGGGAGTTGAGGGGGCAAGGGGAGGGGCAGCAACGGGCAGGGGCTGGGCCAACTGAGGGCACGGAAAAGGGGCGGGCAGAGGGTGAGCAGAGGGGCGAGCGATGCAAGGGTGGCACCATAGGGGGGAAACCAGTTGCACGGAGGTGGGAGGTGAGGGGCGTGCGAGGGGGTGGGAAAGGGGCAGGGAGGGGCAGAATGGGAGGATGTACGTGGGGGGGTGGGGGAGGGGAGTGTGCGTGTGTGTGTGTGTGAGAAAGAGAGAGAGAGAGAGAGAGAGAGAGAGAGAGAGAGAGAGAGAGAGAGAGGGAGGGGGGGATTGAAGGGTGGGAGGGGGGCTGGTCGTGGGGATGGGCTGATGGTGGTAAGAGGGCAGCAGGGATGGGGAGAAGGGAGCGTAACGAGGGGAGAGCAAAGGGCAGGGGGGGAGGAAGGGAGGGGCAGGGAGGGAAGAGGCTGAACGTACAAAGGGGGGAAACGAGGGGCATGGATGATAGGAAACGAGGGCAGGGGTGTGGGAAATCAAGGGCAGGGAGGAGAGAAGCAATGGGTGAGGGGAAAACAAGGGAGGGGCAGACGGGGGGCAGGGAGGGAAGAAACGTGGGGCAGGGAGGGGAGAAGCCAAAGACAGGGGCATGGGCAGGCGGGGGCAGGGAGGGAGCAAAGGAGAGGCACGGAGAAAGAAAGGGAGGCGCGGGGAGGGGAGAAACCGGGCGTGGGGGGGGGCGGAAAATGAGGGGCAGGGCGGGGAGGAGGGAGGGGCAGGGAGGGGAGAAGCTGAGCACACGGAGGGGGGAAAGGTGAGGCAGGGAGGTAGGAAGCCAAGGACAAGGGGGGGGAGAGTGGGGGGGCAGGGAGAGGGGGGAGGTGGGGAGCGGGGAAAGGCGGCGAGGGGCAGGGAGGGGAGAAACCAAGCATAGGGGGGCGAGATACGAGGGGCAGGGTGCGGATTGAGGAGGGGCAGGGAGTGGAGTGGGTCGGCGAGGGGAAGGAAGAGGCGTGCAGCAGAGGAGGGGAGGGGGGGAGGAGAAGGTAAAGGAGGGGAGCGCACGGGCGGGGAGGAGCGAATGGCGGGCGGTGGGAAACGGCGAGGGGGGGCAGGGAGGGTCAAAAGAGGCGGCAAGGGAGCGGGCACGCGGAGGGTAGGGGCGGGGGGGAGCGGATGGCATGAGGGGGCAGGGGGTGTGACTATGAAGGGGGGGACCCGGGCAAGGGGTGTGTAGCGGTCGGGGCACGAGGTTGACGTGGTACGATCATACCTCGGCTACTACGCCGGATCCCATCAGAACTCCGAAGCTAAGCGCCGGTGGGCGAGAGCAGTTATTCATTAATAGGGGAAGAGCAAATACAAGCCGAATGTAATGGTTTTTCCAAGACTAGGAAATTTCGACATAGCCTTATCGCTATGAGGACGGTATATATATTTTGTAGGAAAAGGGGGAAAGAGAGGAAAGGAAGGAAGGATGAAGGAGTAAGAAGAAGTGGTAGGGAAAAGAAGAGGGTGGTAGGAAGAGAAGGGAAGGATAGAAGAAGGGAACAGAAAGAGGGAGGTGGGAAGAGAAGAGGAGAAAGGGAGAGAGACTAAGGAGGAGGAAGCACCAAAGGACCAAAACACGGCAGCAACCCGCACGACCGCACGGGCACAGCGTTTCAAGCACAGCCACTATTGTTTTTTACACATATGCATCATATATATACTGCATATCAGCCACACTCTCGAAGCACCCTGTGACGTGGTGCCAAGTACCCTGCCCCGCACCCAGTGGGACTGGTGCAGGCATCCACCCGTCGTCGGATCCCCCTAACTGCCGCACCGCATGCTGGATCATGCATTGAGCCTGCGCGCGCTGCAGTGCAACGGAGAGGCGTGTAGTGAGTCCTGCCTCAAATATCCGTGCCGATCCGTCATCCCCCCCACCTCTATCCCTCCTCCGCTGTGCTATCCTCTTTGCGCAGAGCCCCAGAAACTGACGCAGCGGCTCACTCAAAAGGCCAAAGGTCTCCGCCACGCACGCGTAAAAGTGTGGTGCCGGCTGCAGCCCCTCTAAGTGCGGCCCCCAGTGCCTCAGCTTCTCCTGCACCCGTCTAGCTGCTGCCACTCCAATCTGTGTGGGGGTCGCCCGTCTCAGCTGCACGTTCCCCTCGCGCTATGGATCCGCTATGGAGACATCCACAAGAACCATCAGACCCTGGCCAACGTCGCGGCAGGTGAGGTCTGGGATGCGGGAGGCGGTGCCTACACGGCCTGTGCGTCCGACTGGTCCCTGCTGTTGCGCTGGCTGCTGCCTTGTCTGGTCCCTTGGTGCCTCCTCTCCAATCGTCTCTCTCCCCCTCTCCTCTCCTCCATCCACCTGTCCTCTCCCCTCCCCCTCTCTACCCTCCCCCAACCCTCCCGACCCCCCTGCTCCATCCCCTGCTGCCTCTCTCACTCCCTGGCCCTCCCCTCCCAATCCCGCTGCCCCTCCTGTACCTCCGTCCGCTCTCTGCTGCTCCCGCCCCTGCCCCACCCCCGAGGCCGAACCTGGAGGCGCGGCGCCCTGGGCCCGCGGCCTCCCCTGGCTCTCCTGCTGCTGCCTGTGCCGTCTCCCCTCTCCGTCCTGGCCCGTCTGCTCCCCCTGCCGACCCCTCTGCCCCCCTATCCCTCGCTCCACCTGACCCCGCAGCTGGTGCTGTCCCCACTGTCCCCCGCCACCCGGCGATCCCGCCTCGCCTCTCTGCTCCCCCGGTCCCTCAGCCCGCGTCCCCTCTCCCACCACTGGCTGTCCCAGTAGTCTCGCTCGAGCCGCCTCCAACTGTGTGAACAGCGTAGAGTCCTCCACCTTTACTGCGAAGCCCGCCTCGACCGCAAAGTCTCGAAGCATGTACTTCACCGTGTCGTGGATGGTAGTGGCGACCCCGTAGCGCGGGCACCGAACCGCGTGATGAGGCACCGTCATGTCGTCAATCGCCTGTCCGCAGGAGCACTGACCTGCAAGGGCTAACTGGGGGATAGGGAGACCAAGACGAGAAGATGAAGCCGCCTGCCACAGCGCCTCCGGGATGCGCAGTGGGTCAGCGTACGGCACCGACGTCAACCACGCCCCTGCACCTGCGCCCTGAAGGGAAGTCAAACGGGCAAGGTGCAAGGGAGAGGCGTGACGGGCACGCACGGCCTCCAAGGCATGCGCCTCCAGAAGACGGCTCGCTCCTGCAAAAAGGGAATCGGGGGAGGCAGAAGCGCAAGAGGGCCAGGGGGGAAGGAGAGAGAGAACGTCAGGTGGGAGACCCTCTAGCGCCGTCTGCAGAGCCCGGTCGATCTGCCCTGGCTCACCTGAAGCGAAGCTCTGCCGAAACGCCTCGCCACACGCAGGGAGAGAACAGAGAATGGGAGCACACTGCACCCAGGAGCACACGAAACTCACCGGGGCAATGCGTGCCATGCGACGAATGCCGAAACCCCCGAGACGGATGGGGAGGAAGATCTGGTCTAGGGCGGCCTCTCGGACGTCCTCGCGACAAGCCCAGGTCCCTGAAGCTAAAAGCTGCTGAAATGTCTCTCCCAGGCGTGCGTCCCACCGTGTAAAACTAGAGATCACTGCGGGGGAAGGAGGGACGGTCCTCGACAGGTACTGCGGACGAGTGCTGACACACGCCGACAGAAGGCGGGCAGCTGTCTGGGGCTGGCGCAACCTCGGAAGCCAAGGTAGCACCCGCCCCATCCTCTCGAGACGATCCGGGAGACTCTGCTCCACGAACGAAACGGTGCCTACCGGTACGCCTGTCACGGTGAGCCCTCGGCGTGCGACCTCGATCCCTAGGCCCGTGAAGGCCTCCAGATCCCTGGACAGAAAGGACTCTGTCTGGTAGACGAGGCACTTGTGCGGCTGGGCTGCAAGGCCCATCTCGCCCAAGCGCCTCACGATCTCGGCAAAGTGGTGCAGCACCCTGTCTGGGGGACCTAGCACGTACGTGTCATCGGCGTACGACCAGAGCTGGACATCCCCCTCCACCAGAACCGGCTCCAAAGCAAGACGCTGTGTCAGAGCGTACAAGAAGGGGCTGAGAGGGTCTCCCTGGCGAGTGCCCCGCTCCGAGTGCATCGTGACCACTCCCGTGCCTGACCTGTAGTGGAGATCCGAGGGCGTCCCGTAGAAGAGGCCGATGAAGGGGATCAGGCACTGGAACTCCGGGCTGGCCTGCAGCGCCTGGAACATCCTGTCTCGGTGGAAAGAGTTAAAGGCGTTCGCCACGTCTAGCTGCAGGACCACCCAGTCTGGGTGGTCAGCCAGAGCGCGGCGGACGCCTCTAACTACGACCTCTGTCCCGCACGTAACCCCCACCCCAAACTGCTGTGACGCCAAGAAGACCCTCGCCATCTGGTCACGTAGCTGGAGACAGACTGCACGAGAAAGAATGCGGACCAAGACCTCGCCGATGGCAATCGGCCGAACATCCATGTTCGACTTCGCCAGAGCCACGAGGGTGGAAGACGCTAGCAAGGAGCGCGTAGCTGGAGCGCAACGGCCTCGGAGCCACTGCTGGTACACGGCCAGGAGGAAATGGAGACTCTGGGGGAAAGCTAGGAAAGTGTCTCGCAGGTGCTCAGCGACCCAACCGGACGGTCCTCCCGAAGAGCCCCGCGGAGCTGTGAAAATCGCGCGGCGTAAGTGGTCCACCGAGAGCACGAGAGGGGACCCCTGGAAGCCAGACTGCCAAGCTGGGGTCGGCCTCTCCGCGTTGGGGTGCTTCGACTGCAGGCGCTGTATCGTCCCCTGTGTATCTGGGGCTGCCTCCGCGGACTCGAGAGCCGCGCACGCCCGTGAGGTCTCATTGCACGCTGCCAGACGTAGGCAACGTGCGATGCGGCGCTCATCTGCTGTAGAGGGATCGGTGGCGGTGCGTGACCGGTGACCTGTGCGCCGAGGAAGGGGTGTGCGACGGCCTAGTGCATCTGAGAATAGCTCAGCCCACTCACCTCGACCAAAGCGGGAGATGCGCGTTGCAATGGCAGCCGTGTGCGAGCGGTCGGGTGGCGTCGCTGGAACAAGGAAAAGAGTCGGCGCTGCGGCGAGGAGGAAGGTAGGGCCAGCAGCCTCCGGGTCCTGGGCAATGCGGACTAGGATCGCACTGAGGACGTCGAGATATCCTCCGCGGACCCTCTCCGGGACACGTCGGAGAGGGCGTGCATGGATACGCTCGGGCGAGAAGTACTCTGTCTTGTCCACCGAGTCGAGCGTCTGCCACTGTGCGTCGGTGAACTGTATCCCGGTCGCACGGGGCTGTGAGAGGGAAGGGATGATCGAGGCGGTGTCATGGGCAGCCTGCGCCCTGCGAGCCGCGTCCGCAGGATGGCAGAAGGGAAAGTGGTGCTGGAGCGCGCGTCGGTTCGCGAGAGAGCTCCTGCAGGTGGGGCAACTCACGACCTGGTCGGGTGATGTCGCCGTGTCGGCGGGGTCAATCGGGGCCGTGGCGTCGGAACTGGCTGTAGAGGGGACCCCGTGGGCGGCCTGAGCTCCGAGAGGATCGCCTGGGATGAGGGGAGGCGACGACTCACCAACCCCGTGCATGGGGGGTGTCAGCGAAGATAGAGGTGGTGTCGCACAGGATAGGGCCGGGCCTCGTGCCGGAACCGGTGTCGAAGCTGGGGAGGGGGGACGTGGGGGTGAGCCTGAAGTGTGTGCCGTGGTGTGCTCCTGCCCCTCGGCGAGGTGCGGTTCAAGTGACGGCTCTGCTACCCCAGGCGGAGGGGTCTCGGTAGGGGCGGATGCCTCATCCCTACTGCTGGTGACCTCCTGCGCCACGGGCTGAACGGGGGGAGGCGCCACCCCATCTAGGTGCGCGTGACACGGCCTCTGAACCTGGTCCGCCTCCATTGGGGTCGGGAGTGACGCGCCTGGCTGAGTGGCGGGGGGGATAAAAGAAGGGACAGACCGGGTGACCTCCGCATACGTCCGGGTCCGGTCCTGTGGGACTGGGAGGGTGGGGGCAGCCGGAGAGCTGCTCGGGCGGTGTATCGCCAGCAAATCTGAAATGCCAGCCCTCACCTCCTCTGGGGTCTCGAAAACCTGCCTGCCTGTAGGTGAGAGTAGGAGGGCTGGCAGGGTAGAGGGTGGAGTGGGGCTTGCTGGCTGAGCGGAGCTCGGGTGTGGACCCTGCCCTAGAAGGCCCCCTTGGCCCTCCCCAATCACCATGGGTTGCGGTAGGGGGTCGTCGACATGGAAGGGGTGGGAGGGATGGGAGGGGGAGTCGGTGGCGTCTTCCATGGGCGCATCCCTCAACCCGACGGCCTCCATCCCCGTAGCGATCGCGGCCGCCGCCACCTGGGAGGGGGACACAGCAAGGGAGGGGCAGAATGGGGGAGAGTGGGCTGGTCCGCTCCCATGGCCCTGTGGAGGTGTAGGAGCGGGGCGGGAGTGTGGGTTTGGTGGTCGGGCTGTAGCGGTAGGGCCTGGTAAGGGTTCAACAGGATGCGGGGTGGGGAGGGGCTCTTGGTGGGGGAGGGAGGGAGGGGGGAGTACGTGGGCTGACCCTCTGCCTCCTCTGCCCCTGTTCTTCCGCCGGCGGCCAACCCGGTTGTCCGCGCCTGTTTGTGAAGGAAGGGGGGGCTGTGGGGCCAAAGGGGTGGTTGGAGGGAGGATGGGTGGTTCGCCGGGCGGGGGGTGCTCTGTGTGCATCCCCTCTCTCCTCGAGACATCCCCCTCCGTGGGGACAGATCGGGCAGGCTGTGTGTGGGGGGTGATGGCTGCCCAACGGGGCCACTCGTGGGGAACCCGGCCGGGAGGGGGGGTTGAAGGTGGGGGTCGAGGGGCTGGGCCAGTGTGGAGGTTAGAGCGAGGTACAAACGGTGGGGGGAGAGGGGTTTGTGTGGGCTCTGTGGTGGCCTCTCCTGTGGGCCCCTCTACCCGGGTGCCGCCGCTCCCATGAGCCTGGGGCGCAAGCCCTTGCGGGTGGGTCTCGGCTGCCTGGGGGGGGTGGTGTGAGGGGGGCAGCCTGTTGGGTGGGCGTGTTGGGGCTGTGCGGCGACTCGGGTGGTTTGGGTGCCTGTAGCGTGTGGGAGAGGGATTTGGCCGCAGAGATGCTTCAACCTCCGAGATGTGTGTACTACCGGGTGGGGGGGGGCCTGGTGGAGGGGGGGGTAGTGGGCCGGTAGGGGGTGGCTGGGTGTTGGTAGGGGTCGGGGAGCATGGCTCCTCTAGGAAGGCCAGAGCCCTGGCTGCTCCACGTGGTGCTCTAAGGAGCCCCTGAGGGTGGGGGCAGAGGTGTGCTGCCCTTGGGGGTGAGGGGAGGAGTGAGGGAAGGGGCGGGGAGGGGTGAGAGGTGAGAGAAGGGGTGCCCTCGGGTGACTCTGCTCTTGTCGCACCCGCGTGCTCTCCCGGTGGACCGCCTGCAACCGTGGGGTCAGGGGTTGGGGACGGAGAGGGGGGCTGGCCATGGAGCAACGTGGGGGTCGGGGAGCACGGCTCCGCCAAGAAGGCCAGGGCCTTGGCTGCCCCCCTGGATACTACCGGGACCTGAGGGTGGGGGTGGGGAAATGGTGCTCCTGGGGGTGGGTGGGCTGGAGGACGGGAGGTGAGGATGGGGGCTCCCTCGTGCGGCTCTGTCCTCAAGGTCTCCCCCAGCCCCTCCATCGGTCCTTCTGCTAGCATGTGGACGGGCATGGGGGGTAGAGGGGGAACCTCGACGTGAGGCTGCAGGGGGGCCGGGTCGGCCTCACCGTCAGGCGTGAGGTATTGGGCCAGTGGCCCGTCAATGTGCATCACATCCTCTCCCTCATCCTTCTCTATCGCTATCACATCCCCCTCTTCCGTGCCCACCCCGGTCGGGACCACACTCACCTCTCCTTCCCCTGTTGCCCCTATGTCCCCCGAGCCCACCCCGCCTGCTGCCGCTTTACTGCTAGCCCCTTTTGCGGTCTCTGCCGGCCCTGTTGTGTGTTTCCCCGCGTTTGCTGCGGCCCCTGCCGCCCCTACTGGCCGTGCTATGGCCCTCCCTGCTGCTTCAGCTGCAGCCTCACCTTCTGCCTTTGAGGCCACTGCAGTCCCTTCTCCCACTCTAGCCCCTGCCGTACCCTCTCTTGCTACAACCGAGGCAGCACTCTCCCTCGCACCAGTCCCCGTTACCCCCTTCCCCGCTGCACCCGTAGCACCTCCCCCTGTACCGGCCCCCACTGTGGCCTCTGTCGCTCCTGCTGCAGTCCTTGCAGCCTCGACTGCTGCAGTCTGTAAAACCTCACCTGCCGTAATCTGCTCAGCCTCACCAGCCGCGGTCCCTGCAGCCTTGCCTGCTGCGGTCCCTGCAGCCTCACGTGCAGCAGTCCCTGCAGCCTCACCTGCTGCAGTCCCTGCGGCCTCACCTGCTGCAGTCTGTGCGGCCTCACCTGCTAGAATCTGCTCAACCTCAACTGCTGCAGGCTATTTCAGCCTCACCTGCTGCGCTCCCTGCGGCCTCACCTGCCCTGGTCCCGCCTGCAGCCTCATCCGCTGTGGTCCCTGCAGCCTCACCTGCTGCAGTCCCTGCTGCCTCACCTATTGCAGTCCCTGCGACCTCACCAGCTGTAGACTGTGCAGCCTCACCTGCTAGAGTCTGCCCAACCTTACATGCTGCAGCCCTCGCAGCCTCACCTGCTGCGTCCGCCGCAGCCTCACCTGCTGCGGCCCCTGCAGCCCCGCCTGCTGCGCTCCCCGCAGCCTCGCCTACTGCGCTCCCTGCAGCCTCGCCTGCTGCGCTCCCTGCGGCCTCACCTGCTGCGCTCTCTGCAGCCTCCCCTGCTGCGCTCCCTACAGCCTCACCTGCTGCGCTCCCTGCAGCCTCACCTACTGCGCTCTCTGCGGCTTCACCTGCCATGGTCCCTCCTGCAGCCTCACCCGTTGTGATCCCTGCAGCCACACCTGCTGTGGTCTGTGCGGCCTCGCCTGGTGCGGTCCCTATAGCCTCCTCTGCTGCGGTTCCCCCAGCCGACACAGCTGCAGGTTCCGTGGCCCCTACTCCTGCAAAACCTGTCTCCATGGCCTCTGCCCTTTGCCTGGCCAGAGTCACGGTCCCTGCTGCCCCTTCCCGTGCAGCCTCTGCCGCCCTTTCCCGTGCAGCCGCTGCTGCCCCTTCCCTTGCAGCCTCTGCTGCCCTTTCCTCTGCAACCTCTGCTGCCCCTTCCCCCACACCCCCCATTGCCCCTTCCCGTGCAGCCTTTGCTGCCCCATCCTCTGCAGCCTCTGCTGCTCCTTCGCACACACATTCACTTACCCCTTCCCGTGCAGTGTTAGCTGCAAGTTCCCCCCTGGCTCTGCCCCCTCCCGCTTCTATGTGCTTGGGGGTGCTAGTAGGATTAAGTGTTTTCACAAGTAATCTGGTTTGCGAATGGGAAGTAGCGAGAGAGTTGGGGGATCTCTCCACTTGGCATGCATGGGTGCCGTCCCCGCTGTCACCTGAAGGGGGGGTAGGCTGGGATGGGGCCGCGGGGGTAGGGCGCGGTTTTGAGCGTGCTGGCTCCTCCTTGTGTATTTCCTCCAGTGGGGCTTGGCGTTCCTCTGTTCCATCCTCTTCAAGGGTACGCTTCTGGCCCCTAGGATCAGATTGTGTGAGTGTTTTCGCTTGGTCAAGTGTGTGTTGTTTCTTCCTGACTGTTGAAGTGGGGGGAGTGGGAGAGTAGGGGGTGGCTCGGCTGCGGGACCTCCTAGATCGCCGAGGGGCTCCCGGGTCTGCCTTTTCCCCACTCGCGGGGTGCTGGGGCATTGTTACAGAGGCAGCATGCCTGGCGGTGGCGGCGTGAGTTGCTGGAGTTGGCTCAAGAGGGCGTCAAAGGGGGAAGGAACTCCCTGGCAGAGGCCGGGGTGCGGGGGGTTAGCTTGGGGAAATGGAAAAAGGGTGGGGAAAGCGGTGCGCAGTGGGTGGAAGAGAGGGTAGAGGGGGCCTGACAGTTGGAGGGGATTGGGGGCCCAAGGGGGGGGCGGGCTGGGGGCCGGTTGAGAGGGGAAGTGTTGGCGGGCTGTAGTGGAGGTGGGGGGGGCGGGGGGTGATGTAGTGGTGGGTGAGCAGGGTGTGGGGACAGGTGGTGGGCCAGAGGTGGGGAGGGCAGGGCAGAATTCCACGGGAGGTGGGGGTGGGCAGGTGGAGCCAAGTGGGGGAGGAAGGGTGGGGAACAGAGAGGAAGGGGCAAAGGGTAGTGGGTAGTCGGGTTGGCGTGAGCCTGGTAGCGGGTAATGAGAAGGTTGGAGGGCGGGGGGGTGAGAACGTGGGAGGGCCGAGAGGGCACCGAAAGGAGGCGCTGTGGTAAATGCAGAGAAAGATGCGGGGCCGGGAAACAGGGGACAGAGGGAATTGGGGAATTGATGAAGGGTGATACCTGCGGATGGGCGAGCCCCAGGGGGGAGGAAATATGGAGGGTGTTGGAGAAGGGGGAGACTGGGGGGGGTTGGGGTAGGGTGTTGGAAGGCACAAGGGGCAGGAACAGGGGGTGCAGAGGTTGGCTGGGGGAGGGAGAGGGCGGTCTGGTGCCGCGGAAAGGCGGACGGAGGTTGGGGACGGCACAGCACAGGGAGCAAAAACAAGGGGTGTAGACCCTGGCTGGGGGTAGGAACGGCAGCGTGGAGTTAGGGAGAGGTAGAGGGAGGCTGGGGTAGGTGGCTGGATTGCGCAGGGAGCAGGGGCAGGGGGTGTAGAGATTGGATGGGGGTGGGAAAGGCGGCGTGGTGTCAGGTGGCGGCAGTTGGGTCCTCGGAGGGCCTGGCAGGGCAGGATGCAGAGGTGCAGCCCACGCTGGATGCGGAAATAGCTGGGGGGGAAAAGGGAGGCTGGAGGGGGAGGTACGGCTCGTAGAGGTGTGGGGGACAGAGTGGGAGTGGGGAAGGCAGGAGGGGGGGTGGAGGAGGGACGTTGTGGACAGGGGAGTGGGGGAACATGCGGGTGATGATAGGGGGAAGCCGGGGGGGGGGAGAAGGGGGAGGTGGTATGAAGTGGGCGAGGGTGACGCGCGGGCAGAGCGCGGCGGTACTAAGGGCAGGGAGACGGGGGGCTGGGGGGAGAAAGGCCTGCTTGGGGGCGTGGTGGGGGATAAGGGGAGAGGGGCGGTAATGCTGGTGGGCAAAAGGGGAGGGTGTGGTGTAGTATGATGAAACAGAATGGGGGGGGTGGTGGACTGGATGGGGCCCTGGAGGGTTGGGAGAACAAGGTGTAAGCTGCCTTTCTGATTTTTCCTGGATTTTTCCGATTCATATGAATTTCTTTTTTCTTTTCTTTTTTCCTTGAAGTTGTTTCCTCTTATTTCCTACGGTTTCCAGAGACAGGGCGGCCTCTGCTAGCTAAGCGCCGTTAGGGAAAGAGGTTAGGTGGCGGGGTGGCTAAAGCGTGCGTGTGAGGGGGAAAGGGGCGGTGTGAGCAGAGAGGTGACTATGAGGGTGGCGACGGGGTAAGATTACGACGTGTGGGTGGCATGCACGAGTGCGCGACGAGGCATGGCAGGGTGGGAGTGGAGCAAAGGGGGAGTGGGGCGGCTTGTGTGCCAAACGTGGGCGGCTAAAACGCTCTAGGCAGAAAACGCGCTTCGGGAGGCGCGCAAGGGGAGGGCTGTTTAATCGCTACGAACGTAGCAATTTCGCCTCCCTCCGCGCTGCCTTTCCCTGGCGGTGAGCGCCCCGTGCGCGGTTCCGTCTACGTCGCGGCTAGATTGAACGGGCGGGGAAAAAAAAAGAGTGCGTGACTAAGCGTGATAGGCGACGAGAAAGCGTGCTTGAAAACGCGCGGCTCTTCGAATTAGGGTTTCGATAAAGAAGGGCGCACTGAAAGGGAAGGAAGAATGCTAACTACGGGCGGAAGCTAAGCTCAGTGACTTCGAGAGAGGGAAACCGCGGGAAGTGACTCGGTATTTGCTAGTCGCTTCGAATAGCAAAGCCGTGGGCAGAAAAGAGCGGGGGGATAAGGGAGAGTGTCGAGAGAGGGGATGGGAGGGAACACCGTGTCTGGCGGAGTTGTGGTTGTGAGTCGCGCGCGCTGTTACACTCCGCGGGCGAACTTCGCGTCAACGCCCCACCTCCCGTTACACCGGCTGCAGCGCGTCCGCAGCCTTCCCGCGATGGCGGGGTCGAACGAGCGGTTCAGTAACACCCCGCGAGTTCCGTTTCCGAGACTCCTAAGGGTCGCGCGCGAAACTCGCGACCCCCGTCCCGTCGAACTCGACAGTCGAAACTAAAAAACTAACCATTGGAAACGCTTATAACTATAACATAAACAACTATCACAATCACTTTGTCTTTAAGCAACTCGAAATAGTAGGTTTAGGAGGCTCCTTAGTAGGCAGCCATGGCTAGGTAAGCTAGGTCAAGGTAAGAGCGCCGGTGGGCGAGAGCAGTACTGGGCTGGGTGACCTCCCGGGAAGTCCCCGTGTTGTACCCATTTATGCCCCTTGCTCGGCACGCGCCGGGGGAGGGGCAAGCGGGAAAAAGAAAGGACGATTTTAGCGCGTCCGATTCTTTCATTTTCGTTTTTTTGCCCAAACAACGACCCAGCGGGGTGGGGGGCCCCCGGGGAGGCTTGCCCGTGCGAAAGAAACGCCCCCGTGCGCACCACCGTTGGGCGGTTGGAAGCCGCACACGGTCGCGGGGTGGAGAGCGGAAACGGGCAGCCGGGGGAGGGTGGGGGCGGTTGGATGGGACTTGGGGTGTACGGGGGGCAGGGGTAGTTGAGGGGGCAAGGGGAGGGGCAGCAACGGGCAGGGGCTGGGCCAACTGAGGGCACGGAAAAGGGGCGGGCAAGAGGGTGAGCAGAGGGGCGAGCGATGCAAGGGTGGCACCATAGGGGGGAAACCAGTTGCACGGAGGTGGGAGGTGAGGGGCGTGCGAGGGGGTGGGAAAGGTGAGGCAGGGAGGGGCAGAA